CTCTCTCTCTCTCTCTCTCTCTCTCTCTCTCTCTCTCTCTCTCACACACACCTTGAGTGGAGAGCGCTTGCTCGAGCGTTGAACCGGGTTCTTAATCCACCATACCCAGTTCGCAAGGCTGGGCGGGGTTGTAAGCAGGCTTTCATTTCATCTTTTCTTATTATTTCTTATTATTTCTGCTTTTCATCTCATTACAAAATTCTGCGCTTTTTCTCCATCTGCGCATAAAATCTAGACTGACAACCTGCTTGTTAAATCATGCACCTGCTTTCAGGCGTAAAAACCCTGTTGTAGAGGTCTCAGTCCTCATTTGTTAGACTTACCTGTCTTTATAAATGTAACTTACTCTCTCTCTCTCTCTCTCTCTCTCTCTCTCTCTCTCTCTCTCTCTCTCTCTCATATGATGACAGCTGATTTGGCACCTACCCCTTTACTAAACTATACTATGTTTCAGTACCATACTGGTACTTCTTCTTCTTTTTCGGTATCAAAAGTTCAAAACAAAGATGCTAGAAATAGGGACAATTGAAGGGGCCATAAATATCTGATCATTGCTCAACCGAAACAGCAGAAAGGTGCCAGTAATGGTCGGAGGAGTGCACTGCGTCTGACCAGCACAGTTCTTGTAGCACCTACTACTCCTTTGTTGTCTTTGTATTTTGTCTTTGTCTCTTTTATTACCCCTATTACTTTGTAGGGATGTGCACATAGTATAACAAATAAATTCAAAAAAGTCACGTGACTTATCTACAACAGTTACTTATTATTATTATTATTATTAGACACAATCTCATAGCATGTGACAAGCATAGCTAATGCAGGGACAGAATCCCCTGAGACAAGGGCGTTGAGCCGGCCACGGCAATAGTAAGCTAGGAAAACAAAGCAAATATGAATTAAAGCAGAAAATGAATGGAAAATTGCAAAGAAAAACGATTAACGGAAGTGAGCACTATCAAAATTCGTGCATCACCCAGGTACTATTCGAGAATGTTCTTCGATGATAATTATTGCGTCTAGTTCAGTTGTGATAGTAGATCTTTAAACTGACCAATAGAAGAACAAGTTTTCAGACCGTATGGTAATGATAACCAATGAGAGTAGCCGGAAAACAAAGGGGACTTTAGATACTGGGCTGACTTAACAAGAGGCAGGATGAGCGCGTTACGGGTTGAGCCTGTCGAAAACCAATTGTACTTCATCATGTGTGAAGGGGTTTTATGAAGAAATATTTTATGAACCAGTGTACAGAGATGGTGCTTATGACGAACGGAGAGAGGAGAAGTGTGTGCAAGTCGATAAAGGGCATCCGAAGGAAAACATCGATCCTTGTTGTAAAGAATTTTAAGTATAAATCTATGGTGGACTTCTAATTGGTTCAGAGTTGTGTCAGAAAGGCCACACCAAGCGGTATCGCAATAGTCGAATATAGGGAGAATATAGCACTGATAAAATAATAGTTTACACTGGATGGGCAAATGAGTGCAATGTGGTTGTAGTACCCCTAATGCTGAACTGGTTCGCTTGCATACACAGTTGACATGTGCAGCCCAAGAGAGTTTGCAGTCAAACATCACACCTAGATGTTTAACAACACGGATAGGCGTAGTCGAGTCAGGGAAATAATGGTTGATCAGGAGGGGATGAAGAAATATACATGGCTTCTGTCTTGTCTAAATTGGGCTGGAGTTTCCACGTTTGCATCCACATGACAGTGCTGTTGATGCGACGCTGCATGGTAAGGAGTAATTGTGCAGGGGAGGAATCAGAACAGATAAGGCCAGTGTCATCCGCATACAAACTAACATCGGGGACAACTGAAGGTAGGTCATTAACGTAAAGCAAGAATAACAAAGGACCCAGAATGGAACCTTGGGGCACTCCAGACGTTACAGGGAGGGGATCAGACAAGAAATAGGACAAGCGAACAGCCTGAGAACGAGCAGACAGATACGAGGATATCCAACGCAAGGCAGCATCCTCCACCCGGAAGGTGACCTGCAACTTGGCAAGTAAGCCACGATGCCAAACGGTGTCGAATGCCTTAGCCAAGTCGAAAAACACCATTCCCACGTGCTCCCCACAGTTCCTCTTTGTCGCTATGTCTTGGACCAGTCGAGTCACCTGGTATTGAGTTGAGTCACCACGGCAGAATCCCGACTGAGCTGGTGAGAGAGCCGGAGCGATGTGCAGGTAGAGGGAATCGAATACAATACGCTCACAAAATTTGGAAACTGTGTGCAGCAGAGAGATGGGGCGGTAGTTTGCCGGGCAAGCACGGGAGCCTTTATTCTTGTAAAGCGGTGTCACGATGGCGGATTTCCAATCCTGTGGGAATGTACCAGTTCGAAATGACATATTAAAAATAATGGCGAGAGGATAGGCTATTGATGGTGCAAGAGACTGCAGCACTTCATTCGGGATCCCATCTGAGCCGGGAGACTTTCCACATTTCAGGCGCTTCAGATATTTCCGAACTTGAAACGTAGTGACAGTGATTGTACGGAACGGAACAGATATGAAAGGCGACTGGGACAAAGGGGGAATGCGCCACGAAGGATCATCAGGTAGCCCAAATGAGGTGAACTGAGTGTTCAGAACATCAGCTATGCTCTTGGGGGACGTGGCGACCGTACCGTCGGATGCTATCATCGTTTGGGGCATGACACGGCCGGAAGTGTGCCGCTGTGCTCGCACAAACTGAAAGAGTGTAGGTCGATTCGGTGACGTTAGTGCAAGTGATGCTTGGATGGAGCGTATTGACGATGTGCTTGCCGAGACAGGTGCTTTACAGCATTCCTTTGTCGGTTATAAGCTGCATGATTTACTGCTGTCGGATATTTTTTGTACACACTATATAGATCACGCTTGCGTTTTACAGCAGACCTGAGCTCAGCAGTAACCCATGGTGGAGATTGCATGCGGGGTCGTGGAGATGTCACAGTGTGGGTGGCTCCGAATGAGGTGAGGTGACGACGGAAGGCGGACAGTCATGTACTACAACAGTTCTGTCTTCTGTACTGAGAGATTCTTGAAAATATTTACCAGTACCTCTCGTACTCGTGGATTGATGCACACTTGCCTGATCTTGGTAGACTCTACAACCGAAATGGTCCGAAATCCAATGGAAACAGCTCTTTGTTCTTGTAATTGGTGTATTTAGCCGGCAGATTCCATCCTCCTCGAGGTTTTCTCACTTCCTGATTACCCCCCCTCTCTTTGCACAAGTACCCTTTTCACTTTTATATTTTTCTCGGAGACCCCCTTGATTTTTGTACTAGGCCTACACTAGGCTAGGCTACAGGCCTTAAAGAAAAAAAGGCCCAACCCTGCCTTGCCAGATATCTGGACTTAGGGGGGGGGGGGTCGCCATGGCAAATAATAAAAATAAAACTGCGCCCGTTCGGGCTCTCCGCGCCGCCTTCTCCGTGAAATAATAACACCGTAAAAAGAAAACTAGAGGGAAAAAGAAGCATAGGTACCACCAAGAGTACATAACTATGTAGTCTTGGTACCATTGTACTTTTTTTTTTCTTTTTTTTTTTTCAGGGGATGGCCCACGCCATAGACAAGAGTACTAGTACTACTGTAGGGGGTTATGTACTAGTACTAGGGGGTTATGTACTCTTGGTATTGCGGCGGTGTTTACATGAGGCGTTTCAACCCGGGTTGAGTTCGACCCGGGTCAGTTTTCAACCCGCCATGTGCATAAAATGAATGGCGCGTTTACATGACGCATTGCGCTTGACCCGGGTTGAAATTTCGCCCCGGGTTGATTTCAACCCTCCCCCCAAGGAGAGGGTTGAAATCAACCCGGGTCAAGAAAATCGTACAAACGTACTTCTGTGCGTATCTCGCGCCAGGTTTGAGCGGCACTGCAGATGCAAATTTCGCGCGAACGGATTCACGTGACCATACAGGACTGTAGAAGTGGACTTTTGGCGGCATATCAGTATTTGACCCTGGTCAACTGACTTCATCATGTAAACGCTCACCTCTTTTGTCTATCGTACAGACTTTCAACCCGGGCTGAACTCGACCCGGGTTGAAATTTCTCATGTAAACACAGCCTTTAGATAGGGATTTCAGGCGGTTTTTTCTGAGCAGCGCTTTGCTCCAACTAACAAGTTTTAAAGTTTAGGCTGTGTTTACATGAGAAATTTCAACCCGGGTCGAGTTCAGCCCGGGTTGAAAGTCTGTACGATAGACAAAAGAGGTGAGCGTTTACATGAAGACAGTTGACCCGGGTCAAATACTGATATGCCGCCAAAAGTCCACTTCTACAGTCCTGTTTGGTCACGTGAATCCGTTCGCGCGAAATTTGCATCTGCAGTGCCGTTCAAACCTGGCGCGAGATACGCACAGAAGTACGTTTGTACGATTTTCTTGACCCGGGTTGATTTCAACCCTCCCCTTGGGGGGAGGGTTGAAATCAACCCGGGGCGAAATTTCAACCCGGGTCAAGCGCAATGCGTCATGTAAACGCGCAATTCATTTTATGCACATGGCGGGTTGAAATCTGACCCGGGTCGAACTCAACCCGGGTTGAAACGCCTCATGTAAACACCGCCTTAGAGGGCAGCGGGCCTCGGCATTCGGCAACGGCCTAGGATGAATTCAGCCTTTGGGAAATGCAGGCATAGTTGATCTACGTACATGCTACACTACAGAACGCCTACTACATGTAGTACTACCAAGAGTGCATAAACTCTTGGTACTACAGAGTGTGTGGGTGGGTGGGTGTGTATGTATGTAGTGATTACTCTTCTTCTTTTTATTTTGCTTTTCCCGTACAAGAGACTATCTGTTCTTTATTGTGTGCATGTACGTGATACGTATGTGGGTACGTAGAGGTCTACACGAGCCGTATTCGAACTCTTTCCCCTTTTGTGTGTTCGCAGAGCTACGGGATGCCACGACGCGCGCATTTGGCGAACTCAACTACACTGCGGATACCCGTACCCGGATCGGAGACGGTGTCTTTCCCAGTTTGGCTGCTTCTTCCGTTCAGAAAGGATTTTTGTTTTTGCCGAGGTTAGGTTGAGTTCCAGCGACCCTCCGTTTATGGCTCAGTGTATCCATGCATTATCAATAACGTCAAACTAACTGGTATAGGTCACACAGACTCGAGTCGAAGTTCTTTGCTTGGATCATTGCTTGCTGAACTGTCGCGGTTGACGTGCTGGGAACTAGTTGCCGGAGTAAACGTAAGTACTGTTATAAAGTAGCTAGTAGCTTCAAGATCTTGTTCCCGTCCTTTCAGCTCCCCTCGTTCTCTCCCACGTGTGCAGGTGTTTTGTTTTATTTCGAACTGGCGTGTCTTGAAAACTCGGCATCACCCCATATGGCACAGTTACTCCACTCCCCACGAGAATCGCTTCGAGTTCAGAGCATAACAAGGCCCCTTCTTGTTACCAAGAGCAGTGCATACATTTTGTGAAGCTGGCGTCGCAACAGGAACAGTTCTAGAGTGTACGGTAGTCGCAAACAGTCACACTTGTTCTGAGTTTGCCCTTGGCTGAGACGCTCTGGACTCTGGTCATGTTTTGTCGGGGGATCTAAGGATGTGGTGAGCAGAGCGCTTCAGTCTGTGCGGGAGATTGCAGATTTCGTGATCGAAGCTCGTCGGATCGCGGAGTTTCCTTTTCAAGCTGGTTACTAGCATATTGATACTTGTACCCGTACCAAACAGTCTTTGTACTGACGAATGTTTCTGCGAGTTGTCAGTTCCTTTTATGGCATGGTGCATAACGTACATGACTTGTAGTCCGCATTTGTAGTGATCTCCCTTATCGGCGCTTATTTGGCAAGCGACTATCTCTTTGTCTGTCAAATCCTATAATTAAAGGATTTTCCGAATTTTTGGGAAAGGGTAGATCATACCTTACAACGTAAACATGGTAAAGGTCTTTCTTCAAAAACCTGTTTGAGTCTGCATTCCATGTTTATCAGAGATGATGTCAGTGTCTGCTCCAGCGCCGGGTGAGCCGGGTAATCCACCCGGTTGGGCGGCGCTTGGACCCGGTTGAAAATATAGTACCGGGTCACCTGTGACCCGGCTGGTACTTTACACTTTCGAACTTTGAAAGGACTGACTACATGGCTTGTATGTGTCAGATACTACTTCTTTTTTCGTAATTTTCTAATTCCTGTCCTCTCTTTTCTAAATGCGGCTTATCCATTCGCCTTTATATCATTGTGTACCCGGCTCCGGCCCGGTTGAAATGGTTGCGCCCGGTGCACGTGTACCCGGCTGTCCTACAATCCTAGAGCAGACACTGGATGTCTGCCAAGTTTCACCAGCACAAGGGCGTTACTTTTTCTGTAACAGGCCCTCTCGTGCAAAGGTGTCCCGATTTTTCAAAATCCTATGTAGGATTTGGCCTCTTCAAAAATTGGTTTTGTAATTCCCAGTTTCCCCTGCCAATAAAAACCCTTGTTGGCAATATCCAAGCTGAGATATGGCCATTATGGAGTTAACAAAAAAATTCTATGCATCTATGTCTAAAGAAGAAGCACCTCCTACAGTGCATTTCAAAACTATAGACGCGTAGGGTTTTTGAAATATTTCAAATTTGGTTGGAACTTTTTGAAAATAGTTTTCGGAATATTGCTCAGGATCGCTCCACAATTACTCTCATAATTATAGTTTCTAAAGGATTGAATAACAGACGCCCAATTTGGAAAAATTTATGGACAAAGTGATCACAGATTTTACGTGGTATAGATGCTGGCATAACGGTTTTTGCCTAGGTACGCGTCTATAGTTTTGAAATGGACTGTAGGCTAGTACCAAAAGAGTATTCCACTATTAATATGTGTACATACTTGAACACAACTGATTTAGTAAATGCCCCATACATGTGTCTTTAGTTCATATTGATCTGCGAGCGCTTTATAACACAACTTCAAAGCTAGGATGGTGCTAATATTCATCTATTCCACTCCTAGTCTATTTCTATCACTTGTAATTGCAATTCATCAGCAATAATTGCACACAGAACTTTCCTGGGGGGTCTTAGCCATTGGGTAACCTCTATTCATTCATTTTAAAGAAAGAGATCCATTGTGGGAAAGATCGAAATGCATCTTCAATAACATTGCTTCCATTTCGACCATTTTCGAGGCTGCAAACGCGTCTTGAAGTCAAATTCTATATTTAGGATTAACTGGTGACAGACAAAGAGATAGTTGTGTGACTGTGTAGGGAAGTTGTTTATTATTATTATTATTATTATTATTATTAAATTTTGAATAGGGCAGTCCCACAGGCCTAGGTTTCTAACTAAACTCTCTCTCTTTCTCACTCTCTCTCTCTCTCTCTCTCTCTCTCTCTCTCTCTCTCTCTCTCTCTCTTTCTCTCTCCCACAGCATGGCAAATTCCTCCTCGTCGAGAATGCTTTCAGGGCGATGTGGCGGTCTGCTCGTACTGCTGGTGTGCCTGGCGCTCAGCCGGCATCCTGCCTATGCAGAAGGAGACCCTGCAGAGACGAACCAGTCAGAAGGCCAACACAGCAAACCAGAGGGGCCAGCGGCAGCACCAGCAGCAGCACTGACAGCACCCCCGAAAGATGGTGGTGCAGGGATTGGCGAGAGTGCGTGCACACCTCTCCAGTGCGCGCTGGGACCCGTGTTGTCGGGATGCAGCGCGCCATCACACATCTACCAATGTTCCAACCTCAGCCTTTCCACCTTCTCGCTTTCCACTACCAGCTCCGCCACGGAACTGTAAGTCTCTTGTTTGTTTCCTAATCTCACCGTATTTAATAATACCGTAAAGTACCGTTGATCCGCCGCCCGCCCCCCCCCCCCCCAGCCATGTCGCTTCCCAGCTGGTTTTTCGGCAGGGGGCGGGAATTAGATCAAGGCTGTCAAGTGCAGTACGATGTACAACAACTTGGAGGATCAGACTCGATGTGCTAAATTGTGCACATTTTCATCCTGGATTGGCACATATTGTGTACAGCAGTGCAAGCGTCGGTTCAACATCGTATTTCGTTGTATACGCCGAAATTGCTTCACAGGTAGAAAATCGACAGGGGGCGGGAATTAGAGAGGGGGCGGATCAACGGTACTTTACGGTACTATAATAGTATTACCGGTATACAGTTTTGCATGTCACTCAAAGCATGAGCTAACGCATCTGTTGACAGTTTCTCGCCATTGTTTATGGTGATGAGGCTGGGTCTGGGCGTTGCTGATGGTAAGTTCGACACTCTTGAGATCTTTTCTGAAAGTGTCGACCCAACACATTGGGGTATTTCCCCCCGAGTATAAACCGCACCTGAGTGTGAGCCGCATCCAGATTTTGTCATGACATACAGATATCTATCCTGTATTCGGTGTATGAGCCGCATACCTCATTTCTTTGCTGACAGCCTCGTTTTGTTCCTTTCCAACTGCGAACCATGAATTCATCTATGCCGAATTTACAGCCAACAGCGCGATTGCCTACTTCCTCGGCAGCTTCAGTGACTCTCAGCTCGAAGCGAGTCTCTTAGCTGCTATGCTTCCATGGTGCCATGATTCAGTTTTGAATGTCCGATGAAAAAGAGAACGACCTTGAGCGAGAGAGAACGTGACTTATGTGAAACAAATTGCACTGTTCTTTATCCATACATATGTGCTGATGTGTACGTCTTCAGGCATATCCGTGCAAAACACATGTGAGGCAATACAGCCGCAACAGAACTTATTTTAACGAAGACATGTCGCCTGTTAAAACGTTAGATTTACATGCCTTACAGCATAGGGCTTGAAAGTGTGACGTCAGAAGTCAAAATCTAACAACTAACGACCTTTGGATCCACTTGGGTCCTGTTTTTGTATAGGTCCAAACACGTTTGGGTGGTTTTCCTTCGCAGCATAATGACACATTCACCGGTATGTGTGGGTTCATGGCCGAGAGGGCCTACTCCAATCACTACCGGTGAATGTGTCACTATGCTGCGAAGAAAAACCACCCAAACGTGTATGGACCCATACAAAAACTGGACCCAATTGGATCCAAAGGTCGTTATTTGACGACTTCAAAAAAATGACGACTTCTGACTTCTCAAGCCCTATTGTTCAGTCAGTCGGTACCATGTGCTGCAACACTGTGTAGGCTGTGCAAGCAGGCTATTAGTTGGTGGTATAGTTTCGTCAAATTCGAAAGAAATGCAGTTTATCTGGTTGATGGTTTCCTCCTTGGATGTTGAAACATACAGAAAGGCCAAACAAATCGACTTTTAGTCTTGCCTTAATTTTTTTAAGCCTGAAATGTTTGGATGAAAAGAATGAAAATGAATTCCGAACAAATGTTTTGCTTGTGCAATAATGCACTTGGACGGTGCATTGCGGCCGACTTGACTTGGCTGACTCACGACTGCCATCTACAGCACACGAAAAACCATCGAACCTTTGACTTGGCAAACCTGCAGGAAAGCAGCACTATTCTGTGTTCAATGAACAGTGTTTTAGGGAATTCACCCCTCACCAGTTGAGCTTTGGGTAACATTCTGAAGTCACTACCGTTGTGTTGTAAATACTTCTTCCGGAAACAAAACAACTTTGTAAATTTGATAGACCTGCCAGCGCACATGCATTCAGTGGAGAATTTTCAATCGAAGAGAAGTTTGTTTGCAATGTATTCCCAGCGTCGTGAGAGATCGCGTCTTCTCTACCCTCCCATGGACCCTCAGTGTCTTTCCGAATTTACATCACCTCTAGCAAATCGTTGCTGATCCGCTGTAATTTCGTGCAGACTACATACTGGTCGTCGTGATAATGACTATATGCAATTCTGAATCTGGGATAAATGTGATTGTTTTCATCGATGGAGAAGGAGGCCGATGGCCACTGTTGCAGGGAGAGTGAAAGCGCTGGGAGTATCAACAGGGAGCTCGGCTGCATCGCCTGACCACCCAGACCTTAAAGCAGCTGGCCCGAATTGGCCAGTGCCGGCTATTTGTCTTGCAAAAATCGCAAAACCCTACCCGCTATATAGTACAGCTTGTCTTTTTGAGCGCTAATTTTCTAACCATTCTATAAATGTACAGTCGAATGTCACTTATCCGGTCGCCAGTTATCCGAGCATGTCGGTTATCCGACAAGCCCGGGAGTGGTAATTTTATGACTCTCAACTGTAAAATTCTTAAAAAAATGTTTTGTATTACTAGTATACGATGTAATATGCATTTACTTGAAGTAGATGTGGTCAAGTATGCTAACATGTATGTGTACATGGAGCAATTCATGAATATGCATGAATATATTTGGGTATTGTGTACATAAATCAGTGAAATCCAGCCGTATATGCACATAAAAAAAAGATATCAGTTATCCAACATGCCTGATTCCCGAAGTGGTCGGATAAGTGACTGTACATACAATGTACAATGTCCTGGGTATGCGTATCACTGTGTGCTGCTACAGGGATTTGTCACACAATCAACTGAGTTCTCCTATTGGACAGGGCGACTTTCCAGCGAAGCTGACGAAACTGTGAGTAGGAGCAGTCAATTGCAGCAGGAACCACTATGGCATTGGTGTTGTCATGGTTCCCGCAGTGTTTGCTCTTCATCTCCATGGTAACCATTTTTATCTAAAGATGCGAAGAGCTCTTTTAAAACAAGTTCAGCCATGTGTGTGTGTCCGGTTTTAGCGGCTCTTTTGGAGTATTGTCAGGCTCAGCTGTATTTATGGTGCGTTATAAAATCCTGTTGGTAAAGTTCCAGGCTCTCCGAATAGTTTGGAGAAGTGTTCTGATATCCTCTCTGAATTTTAGGAGATTCTCAAAAGCTCTCCGAGCTCCAAAGGTATAGTTGAAACGTGGAGATTCCCACGTTTGGGGTCCGTAAATAAGTTCCTGCCCGAAAGAAATACCCCCTTCATTCTTTTGGCTCTGTCTGTTGAAGTCAAGTCAAGCCCGATAAACATACTGCCCGAAATAAGTACCAGTACGATGCGCACATGCAGCACGTAGCATGTACATTGACATGAAAATGACTTCTCCACTACACACAAGTCAGGTCCGGAAGTTAGCAGAGACCATGAGCAACGTGAACGGGGAGTTGGGTTAGAGTCCCGTCCTGACCACGCGAAACATACTCGTGTTTGACGAGACCGGGGGGGGGGTCTACTCGTCATGGCCGCAATGAGTGGGGTTTAGCCCGGTACGTGGGATTTGGACCGTGATACGGAGAATAGCACCTCTTTTTGTCTTTGCAACTCTTCTCACATTTTATTACAATGTTTCATCCATTCTTGTTGGAATAAATATGATGGCGAAATGTGCCAATCAACCAGTAGCACCATTGATTTTGGCATAACCATTACTAACATGGCACAGAACAGGATCGAGGGTAAGCACAGTGCCGAAAATTAGACTTGTTCAAGACCACCCAGTTTGCTCGCTCGTTTTTTGTCACCTGCTCCGTAACGTACAATTTTGGTTCCTAGTTCGTGCCCGAAAGTTAATACGGGTGTGGCTGCTAAATTCGAAAGTAAGTGCGTACATATTTACGGACGTTTGCGGTATTACCAACAACCAGTGTACGCTGGAGTATTTGGTGTGAGGTGTGTGCTGGAAAAAGGTAAGACGACCAGAAATTAGGGATTCACTGGCCAGAAAAAGCCACTTTGGATACCTGTGTGGTGTAGACCAGGCTGAACAGTGGTGGTCAATTCTTCAGCCTTGCAAGCTGGTGAATGGTGCAATCCCAGCACAAGTTGCTATGGTCTCTGCCGTAGCATCACTATCATCGCCTCCAGTGATGGGCGTCAAACGTCAAAGGTGTGTGCGTGAGTGTGTGTGTGTGTGTGTGTGTGTGTGTGTGTGTGTGTGTGTGTGTGTGTGTGTGTGTGTGTGTGTGTGTGTGTGATGACGTTAATTTTTCCTGCACCTTGTCCTCACCCACAACGCCCATAAACAGGATCATTTCTAAGTTCACCCAGAGTTTGGGGGTTTCAGGGGGTGTCGGCCGTTGGGCGGTTCAAAAGCCAATTGAGTAATCTTCACAAGATTTCTTTGAATCTATTTCCCCTCTCTCGGATGGTCTGATCAGCAATCAGCACTACAAACAACACGAGAATCACGGCAGAACTGTCGATCACGCTGGTGGACATTGACAGAGTCGATCAGGTGCCACCAGCGCTTCGTGCCAGGGTGCTGCCAAGACTGCTTGTACATGTCCCTCTTAGAGAACCAGGTGTTGGTGATGGTAGCATTGTTAATGCTGAGAAAGGAGAGTAACTCTTTCCAGCATCGTTGCACTCTCCAACTCCATGTGGTCCACGAACGCTGTGCCACTCATCGTCACAGTCGGCACGTGATCCTGCACGTGCGTTGAAATCACCCAACACGATAAACTTTCCATTTGAACACTGCCGAAGAACACACTGCAAGTCGTTGAAAATTTTATCTTTCTCCAGCCGAAGCGCTCTGAACGTAGGCGTGTAACACACAACAACATGTAGGGTCTCACTCGTCAGGTTTGCCGTTCATGTCGACACACTGGAGCTGAACAACAGCTAGTCGCGACGAGATAGCTCTCCATTGGCTACCCCCCCCCCCCCCCCGCACCTCAAGCAGCTAGAGCGCTCCCCCGCAAAATAACGGCAGCAGAAACTGAAGGAGATCGGATTGCTCATGAGGGTGCTGCCGTTTGGACATCCATCCGCACCATTCAGTCTAGCCATCGGGGTCTCTGACCACTCGCCACCAGTACTGTACTATCAAAGACGAGAATGGTAATGTTTGCGCTTCCGTCTCTGACATGTGTGGCCGCTGGGATATCGCGACAGATATCGCAGGCAGCAGGATCTGCAACGGCATGAGGTCGGATGTTCTGCCGCGAAGCCGTGATGCTACTTTGCCCTTTGTTCCCCTCCTCTGGCTCATGAGGGCAGCTTAGCCGTTTAATGTGTGCGCGCGCTTGTGTGTGTGGGCGCACATGCGTATATGTGTATGTGTGTATGTACAAGTATGCACCATAAAGTACCGTTGATCCCCCACGCCATGTCGCTTCCCAGCTGGGTTTTCAGCAGGGGGCGGGAATTAGATCAAGGCCGTCAAGTGCAGTACGATGTACAACAATGTGGAAGATCAGACTCGATGTGCACGTTTTCATCCTGCACTGGCTCGCATAGTGTACAGCAGTGCATGCGTCAGGTCAACATCGTATTTCGTTGTATACGCCGAAGCCGCTTCACAGGCAGAAAATCGACAGGGGGCGGCAATTAGAGGGGGCGGATCAACGGTACTTTACGGTGTGTGTGTGTGTGTGTGTGTGTGTCCCATGTGGTGCAGGGGTATGTGCAGTCGATTTCCAATCGAGAGGTTGCGGGTTCCATTCCCGACGATTGTGGTCGCGCACGTCTTTCTTCTCTTTCTCATTCTCCTACCCTCCCTCTTCTTTCATTCTCCTGGGTGGCTACCAACAGCCATTGTATGCCGGAGTATGTGGTCTGGCGTGTGCGTGTCAACAAAAAAAGAAAAAGAAAAGAAAAAAATGAAAAATAGGGATTCACTGGCCAGAAAAGCCACTTCAAACAGCTGTGTGGTGGATACCAGGCTATAATTAGTGGCGATCAATTCATCAGCCTTGCAAGCTGTTGAATGGTGTAATCCCAGCACAAGTTGCTATGTCTAACATAGCTGTTCGCTATCATCGCTTCCGCGATGGGCATGTCTGAGAGAGAGAGAGAGAGAGAGTGTGCGTATGTGTGTGCATGTGTGTGTTTGTGTGTATGTGTGTGTGTGTGTACTTTTCACCAAATGGGCTGTTGTGCTTGGTGTTCATTGCAGGAACTACGCTTTCAACAGTATTCGCTTAGGAATTACTTTTGAGTTACCTATCTCAGTAATTGAAGTGTGAGTGCATTGTTAAAATTCTGGATGCTGGTTTATGTATAGACCCCGTGGACGTCGCGTATTAAAGCCGTAGTTAGCCGTATTCTCGTGGCGGCATTATGAGACAAGTTCTTTCCTCTTGTTGAGAGAAGGTACTTGGGTGCATGTGCCATTCCCATTTTTCCCGCACGGCATAGGTTGCACCTTTTGCTTTTGTTGCTGTAGGTCACTGCTTCGCGGTGCACCACCCGTTGAATACTGCATGCTTTGTCTTCATACTTCTTTGCCCAGACGTATTGTGATGGGCGGGCGCTCTTCTGGTGTTGTCTGTGTGGCACATAAATTATTGGTGGTTATAGTAGCGTTGTTTGAATGCTGTTGCTGTTAGCCCACTGTATTCCTTCTTCTCTGTATCTGTGGTGACTCTTGCCTTATACACGAAGCCCTCCGCTAGACATGCTCCGTCCAGTAGGCTTAACAGACAACATCAGCCCCCCTCCCTTCCCCAGCGTCAAGGTTGTCGGACAACTTCAGCCCCCCCCCCCCCGAAGAATGTTGGAAAAGGGTTGCAGCTGCAAAGCAGTGGGTTAGCTGGAACGAGTACCGGCGGATATTGCAGCCGTTACTTCCTGCACCTTCCTAAACTTCATACGGTAGCTGTCACAACGCAGGCAGTCATGCTTGCGTTGCTGTTATAGCCTCCTGGATACCTGTGAAATTATGACTTGACCTCACTTACCTATTCCACATTTTACAACTTTCTTTCCCTGTGACGTGATGGTGTGCCTGCAGTGATTTGTCGCATAACTCGATGCCCGAGCTCAGACCACATGCCATTGTGCAAGGAGATCCAACTTTGGCAACACTGTAAGTTTTCGTGTGATGTTTTAAACTTCAACACTTTCCTATTCTGAAGTGTGAATTCCAATTTCCTGTATTATTATTTTTATTATTACAATTCTGCATTTCCACGGCAATGTCAGCCGCACAATGGCAACCCACATATTCGCATATGCCAAACTGTGCCACGTGTCCGTACAAAAATGAGATTTCCTGTATACCTGCGTAAAAAAAGAGAGTAAAGTTTGCACGTCCGCTTTCAACCTGCTTTACCTTTTGTTCTGCGAAACACAACCAGCTTAGGAAGTTTCGCTCGTGCCAGGCCACCACCATGCCTGTGATACCAGGGTGGCAGATGCAGCGCCTAACGGCAAGGGTGAGGTGGTAAGTCTCACAACCAATGCCCGGCAAGGGGCGAACCTCGTTAGCTGCATGCATGCATACCTGTGTGCTGGCGAGTGCCCGCCTAATGATTTTATGGCATTCGCAGGCCCCTGCAGTGGAATGACCGGGGCCAGCGTCCTCAGTGCGTACAGAACGTTGCATGCACAGTGCACATGTTGATCGCATGCGACCTCGCGGCTACATGGCCAGGGCGCTGGGGGCCGCTTGACCTCCTTTCGTGATCTTGGGCGCTCTGGAAATCTTTCTCCTCGCTCACATTGAGCTCAATTTATTTGTGAGGAGTCCTGCGAGTCCATTCACTCTTTTGAATTAGCATTTCTATGGCAAAAGTCAGCCGCAAAGGGGAAATCCATCCTCAAGAACCAGTTTGCCCATTCAAATCGCAAATGAGCTTTGGCGCAGATCGTGTGTGTCTTAGCGTCGCAGACGTTCACTCTATCGCTTCGGCGTTTGTTCCTGTGGGTAGCCTGGAGCTTTCTCTTCCACCCAGATATTTAGATGTTCGAGTTTGGCCCAAAAAAAGGACCGAGTTACCATAGTTTTAAATAAATCGAGCGCCGGTGTGTCACTGTGTTTCATTGTGTGTCACGGTGTCTCACTGTGTTCGTACCAAAACATTGAACAATAACAAAATTTTGTAAGTTTACGGTCCAGCATTTGAGGTGCTGGTTTTGCTCACCTCCTTGTAAGTGAGGTTTTGTGGAGATGGTCTCTTGGTAGCAATGCTACCTCCCTCCCCCCCCCCCCCCCCTCCCCTGCATATACCGTATTATCTCTAATATAAGCACAGTCTCCAATAATAGCACGTCTCCAATAATAGAACACCTTGCGGCGGCATTCAAAAAATAAAGTGCTCAGTCTCCATTGTAAGCACACTGTGTAAATTCATTATCTGTACCAGCGAAAAAAACCCTGAAATGTGTGTGTCATACATGAATTTGGCATGGCAACATGCCTCTGAAATGAAGTTGAAATAATAATGGAACAGTCTCCAATAAAGGAACGTCTCCATTAATGGCACGGGGCGGAGGTACATTGAAAAAATAAAGGACCGTGCTTATATTAGAGATAATACGGTATGTTGATTATTTCAAAGTCACGCACACACCCTCTGCATTGGCTGATCCAAACCGCCTTTCTGGAGAGTCTGGACAATACTAGTACGGACGGAATCCTGATAATTCCAACCCCAAATTGCTGGTGGAAAACTTCTCACTATCCGGACATTCTAATTATCCGAACATGTACCCACAACACAGTATGTTTGTCAAAGTGCTCGCATTGCTACACCGGGTTCAATACGCCCGAAGTTTCGCACGCCCTGAATTGTGGAGTAGTAAAAACACCGGGATATGACCTGTGCATACACGATCAGCTAGACGATTGCCTCAGAACCGATTTCACCCGGCGGGTGAGATCGGGGTAAGATGGTTACCAAATTACGAGCAGGTACGCGCGATTTCTACAAACTGCCACAGCCTATAGAAACCCATGGCGAATGTATTTGTTTCCACATCCACTCTCCAAAAACTCCGTGATCGGACGAGCAGATACGCACCGTCACAGATTTCATTCGTTCTGTGGAGTACTCCTCCCCGCACTGGATGAGAGCGGCTAGCAACTAGAGCGGCTCGCCGAGCATCATGTGGCACAAGGCCTACGCTACACGGAGACTTCTAAAGAAGGCCAGATCATCCGCATTCGAGTCTGGCTTTGCGTTGCATTCCTGTGTCACGTAGAGCAGAGCATCACACAGTACTAGTCACCCTGCATATAATGAGTGATTTACAGTGAGTATTGTTTATAAAGTGACCGGGTGTAACGATATACCGGCTATAATGATCGAACTCGCCAAAATCAAAATCAAATCACAAAAAATACAGCTAAAATATCACTATACACACTATTATCGGCTATACCGATATATCGCTTATTGTGATGGGCTTCAGGAAGCAAACCATATCAAATGCACAGGAAAATATCGTATATACTGATCAAGAGTGATGATTTGTAAGAAAAGGTTTGCTCCCCACACCGGAGCTCGCGCTATTCCGCCGACTTTTCTTGACACTTGACTGACTCACGACTGCCATCCAGAGCACACGAGAAGTCCATCGAACCTTCGACTCGGCAAACCTGCAAGAAAGCACCACTCCCTGCTCAATACACAGTGTTTCGGGAAATTCACCCCTCATCAGTTGAGCTTGAGTAGGCTGAGGAAGATTGTGCCTGAAGAGCACCACTTATATAGTGCTCTCCAGGCACAAACATCACCAGGGATACAAACTTACAGAGACGCTCCGCTTCCAGCGCGACAAACACCTCGTGAACACGAGATAGCAGCGTGAGTCAGTGTCGCTCCTGGACGGTGAGACAGACGTTGAGGACCCTCAGTCATTCGCAACGCTGTCACCTCCAAACCAACTAGTCGCAAGCCCGCGCTGGGTGAGTGATGATCACAAAACAATTGTTCTTCAAATTTAGTTCATTTCTTCCGAAACTGATCCAGTGTTGCCTGGATGCATCTGGCAGCAGACGTGATTGAGAGAAAATTCTTCCCTGTATGCTGTAAGCAGCCACATGTACACGTGGCTGCTTTTCATGCATTTTCCAGCGTGTACGCATCATTTCATGCATAGTCATGTGCCATGTGTCAGTCATACATGCAAATCGGCTATAGTGATGCACCGGATATAGTGATAAATTATCGAAAATCAAAGGGGCACGTTATATCCACTATTTACTGTATATATAATAGCGTTGACAGTACATGTCACGGGTTACTATAAAAGCAGAAATTTTCTGTGGTGTAATATTTCGGTTCGGTGGAGAGAATTTTTCGGTAAAACCCGTTTTCCAGGTAAGCGTACTAGTACACTTTTTACTGGATAAAATACGTGTTGATTTCGATATTTCGTACCAATATCACTGTAGCCGATATATTCTTATATCCGGTCACTCTATAGCCGATGCAGACTGTAGTCTGTATCGGCTATAGAGTAACCGGATATAAGAATATATCGGCTACAGTGATATTGGTACGAAATATCAAAAGCAAAACATATTTTATCCAGTAAAAACATTACTAAAACCAATATTAAATAGCAATGAAAAATATCAATTGTGCACTCATAACCATGTATAAACAATTAAAATGAAACAATTCCAGAATGTTTTCGTGTGACTATCATCAGTGGAACATCGTCACATAATAAAAATCACTAAAAAACCAGTTATATAGCTAGAATATGAAAAGAAGCGTGAGAATGCAGCACAGCTAGCGGTTATGCATAACGCGTGTAGTGTGAACCTTTGCAGTGTATCTGAGAATGGTAGCAGTAGATGAATGTGGCAGCTGTGAGTGCGTGTGGACAAAACTGGTGAGTGCGTATTATTTAAAAAGTGTGAGTGCTACAACATTTTCTTTTTGCTTGCATAGAACAGGGTCACGTGTGCGAAAATATACAGCAAAACGAAAACGTTCTGGAATTGTTTCATTTTAATTGTTTATACATGGTTATGAGTGCACAATTGATATTTTTCATTGATATTTTACGACTGTTGTCTCCTCGTCGGTTATTTAAATAACCAATATTATCGGATGTAATGATATATCGGATATTATGATGGCAACGAAGAATCAAAACATGCATAACACACTATATTATTATCGGCTATAGTGATAACTTTAAAATACATGTAGCAATAATATCAAAGGCCCTATTTTTTTACTTTCTTCACGTTGCTTATTTTTATAGTGATACATGTACATGTACATAACAGAATTTTTTATGGAAATGCGGGCACTGTCAACTATGCAGCATGCTCATTTGTCAAAACGCCATGCTGGAAGTATTTCCTTGCCTTTCATGTGTCGATCGAAAAAAGGAAAAATTCGATCGTATCGCATAATAGTGATGCATGGGTTATAGTGATAAAATCACGGAAATCAAAAGGGTACGCTATAGCCGATACACACTGTACATCTATACAGTACCGGTAGTAACGAAATTTTCCGTGCCTTTTATTTACGGTAAAAATTGTCGGCACCGAAGTTAACGAAAATAAAACACCACCGAAAATTTCTGCTTTTACAGTATGCTCCTGGCAACCAAGTACCGTAAAATCCCGCCAGAGCGCCCCGTCTCTCCCATCCGCCCCTCCCTGACTTCTTGTCAGGGACGTGATTGATTGTATCCTCGTATGACTCTGTCGCAGTCTGTGATGCCGTACTGTACTGCAGACGCGTGCTCAACCCCGTTTGAAATGTACGCAACAGTGCCCACCCTCTTGACCAGGGATCGTACAAACCCTGCGTTTTGTCGGGTCTGTACGACTCCTAGCTCTTGACCTTTGGTCGGTGTACGAGATGCACGAACAGTTTTCGTAGGGTGAGTACTTTTTCATGTAGCACTGAATGCGGCAAGTAGGACTCGCCCATCCGCCCTTCCCCACCTGAAGCGTCGAGGAGGTAGGGGCGCTCTGGCGGGATTTTATGGTACTAGTAAAGCGGAAGATTATCGCTCATGTCACATTTCTATTTGTGTGCCTTCCATATGTCTTTCACAGGGACCTTTCTTTCAACAATATTTCAAGCTTACAAGCTGGTAGCTTTGCTGGCTTGAGCAACCTGCGCACACTGTAAGGGTTGCCTGCAATTTTCTATAGCGCTGGGTTTGAAAGAGGAGTTTTGCTCCTGTATTGGGACGGTAAAGCAAGCAGATTGTATACCGTACATGGAGTACAGGTATTGTTCTTGTAAGGAGTTGCAGTCAGTAGTGCAAATATGTTTGGTTGCATAGCAAGATGGTTAGAGCATTGGCTTTCCGAATCCGAGGAAAAATATTCTATTCCCATATGTTACGAAGGCAAATTCCACCCCGAAGAGACCCACCCGCCTTGGTCATGGGTGCCCAATTAACTGTGGTGAAGTAAGCTAAGGCGACGGCGGGGTAGCGGAGAGGAGTACTGCCGCCCTCACGTAAATTTGCTCTTGTGCACGATACGATTCCTTCCAAAGAGGACTACTGATTTCTTAATTTTTTTGTTTTTCAATTGCCCCTCCATCCCCATCCACCACTCACGACAGGGATCTCTCCTTCAACCAGTTGTCGACGTTGACCACTGAAGTCGTTAATGGATTGGCCAACCTTGAAACGCTGTAAGCATTGTTCTGTATTGTGCAGTGTTGTTTTCACATTACAGGGAGACAGTTCACATTACAGGGAGACAGTTCACATTACAGGGAGATGGTTCACATTACAGGGAGGCAGTTCACATTACAGGGAGACAGTTCACATTACAGGGAGACAGTTCACATTACAGGGAGACAGTTCACTGTTAAGTGCATGTGTCCTGGATAGAACATACTCTTCTCTTTGCACTGGGTACAAAGTACAGCGGTCCCTTAGTTTATAATCCGGTACCATTTCTGCTGCAGGAATTGCGCTGCATTAGGAAGGGTGCTATTATTAAGGTGTCGGCATGAGATCAAAATAATATCTCCTTAGGGGTCGTCCGTAATTTTCGAAAAATTAAAAAATCCGTCCTCGTGCAAAATTGTCTCTGACCCACCCACCCACCCCCCAATTTTTCCCATTAATTTTTTGATTTTTACCGATGCCCAGCTCGAAAATAAGAACTCCTGACCCCACGTTTTCTGACTGCACCTGTGTTAGTACTACAGCATAGCTAAGTACAGTGAGTAGTAGGTCTACCGACGTCACGGCCATGCATGCACCGTCCTACAACCACATGTACATGAAAAGCAGGGAGTCGTAAAATACCTGGTATTTTACGACTCCCTGATGAAAAGTCATGTATCATAGTAGATACTGGTGTTTGCGACAATCGATCCTACACTACAAAAAAATTGTACGTCTACAGTACAGTATACACAGTCAGCTATATACTTGTATCAGTGCAACAAGTGTATGAAAGTCACTGGCGAAAAAAAAAAAAAAAAAAAAAAAAAAGTACGAAAAATCAAAAAATTAAATTCCGCCAGCACTCTTGACCACCCACCCCCTTTTTGCCTGAGGACGGATTTTTTAATTTTTCGAAAAATACGGACGACCCCTTAGCCACCATTGTGTCACGTAACTGTCCCTACCTCTACAGCCTCCCGACTACACCAGCCACATACTTTGCGCTACAGTCCATTCATAAAAAGATGGGCTCTGGCTCTGGCGAGCTCCCGTATTTGGCGGTTTTTCGTGATTTCATCGTACACAGTGCAGTGCTGCGAACTTTGAAATTTGAAAACGGGTCCAAAAAGGGTGCCTGAACTGGGGTTCGAACCGCAGAATGCACTGTTGCCAGGCGGGGCCAAACGGCCTGGATTTTGATGGTTTTCCCAATTCTGTGCTTTTGGGGCAAAACCTGGCCGAAATCCTATTCTTCCTATGGCTTGCTTTTTTGGACAAAAAAACTTCAGAAACATAATTGGAAGAGGATTCCATAGGGGATTGCCAAAAAAATTCTAAAAAAACTCAAAGTTTGACCCATTTATGGCCAAAAGCTAGAAGTTCATTTTTTTCTGAATGGACTGTAATGTAACACTGCTAGCCCTGAAACTAACACAGCCCCCACATGCATACACACAGTTTTTTCACACTGTGCTAGTACTGCCACAGCAACACCCAAAGCATAGTACCACATCACAAAACCACTAATATTTCTCCTGGTCCACAAAACCACTAATAATGGACCCATTGCGCAATGACGTAAAAACACCCTTCACAGCCAAATATGGAATGCATGAGTAATGCTTGTGAGTATGCTGGGATCAGGAGTGCACTGTTCAACACCCCAGACGACCCCCCCCCCCTCAGGTGGCTGTGAAGGGTGTTTATGGTACAAATTACGTCATTGCGCAATGGGTCTATTCTCCTGCTACAAATACTGGCAATGCGAACGGCACCTTTATGTTGCCTGTTGATTGTGTGGATGAATTAGCCTTGTGCTTTGTTCTGTAGAAACACTTTTATGGCGATGTCAGGTCTTCTGCAGAGCCTTTTTCAGAGCAATTTGCACAGCGGCTATTTCGGGCTCACATGTCGTCGCCTGGGTTTGGATCCAGTCAGCGCATGTGTGTGGCCACTTACTCAGCACACACGTCGATCGGCAATTTTTAGTATTGCACAGTCTCCAGTGTCGAGTACTAATGTGTGTCTTTCCATTCTTCACTTGTCCTTCACAGGGACCTGTCCTTCAATCGTTTGTCAAGCTTGTCAGCCGGTGTCTTCAAGGGCATGGACAAGCTGAAAACACTGTGAGGTTTTCCCCGATTTTTAAATATGTTCCAGGGATGAATTTATGGGCGTTCTTTGCCCTATCAACACAATAATAACATTGTGTAGCAGTCTTTGATTTGGAATGAGTGTTCATACATGGATAATACATCGTATGATGGTAGCCTTTTGCCAAGGGTCCATGAGCAAGAGCATGCACATGTGGTTATGGGTCAGTGTGCGGTGCGCTGCCTTCACTATGTATGTGGCTGGCCTGCATCATGCCCTGGACTAAAGCGTCAAAGTTCACAATCTCTCTCGTACCAGCCGTTGGTCCACTGCTGACTTGTGTAGCGCCGCAGCCTCCACTGAACTTCTATGAGGTTTTGCTGTGTATTGATGGTTTCACTAACGTGTGTGTGTGTGTGTGTGTGTGTGCGTGTGTGTGTGTGTGTGTGTGTGTGTTGGTGTGTGTGTGTGCGTGTGTGCGTGTGTGTGTGTGTGTGTGTGTGTGTGCGTGTGTGTGTTTGTACACTTCAAATAGCTGTGTGGTGTAGGCCAGGCTGAATAGTGACGGTCAATTCTTCAGCCTTGCAAGCTGTTGAATGGTGCAATCCCAGCACAAGTTGCTATGGCTTCTGCCGTAGCATTGCTATCATCGCCTCCGGCGATGGGCGTCAAAGGTGTTTATCTCCGTTTGTGTGTGTGCGTGTGTGTGTGTGTGTGTGTTATGCCAGTCAAATTCAGGGTGCTTTCTTCCAACAGATTCCCGTGGAGGAGTTTACCGCATTGACATCACTCACGCTCCTGTATGTAGAACTGTTGTCATGACAATCTTTCAAATCTATTATTCATGCATTCAGGCTACTAGTAACTATCTTGCTGTGCGTTCAGAAATTTGACTTTTTCATTTGTGGAGTGTGGTGTAATAAGTAACATCATGACAGAACTCTATCCCTGGGCATAGCATTACGCGCACCCGAGTACTGCATTCAGTGCATGTGGGGACTGTGCCATAGAAGGGGAAGCCGGAAGGGTTAGTGATGCGCAGCCAGCAAGTGTAGCGGTGCATGAGTCAATGGTACAGCAGGCAGGCTGCGGTTCTTATACAAGTACACACGTTAGATCAATGCGAGTGAGTGTAGGGAGTAGGAAGGAGAAACCTGGAGACAGACAATGATATGCCTAGGGATAGAGTTCTGTCATGATCCTACTCATTACACTACATGAAGTAGCTCCCTGGCCTCTGCCTTTGGCATGCCCTCGCACCTAAACAAAAACTACTCCATGGTCCATGTGCCTGCTAACATGTAAATCTATCCACGTCTTTGCAGACTACAATTGGTGGTCGTCTTACATGAAAAATATCGGCGGGAGGACAGGCTGAATTTTTAATGCGGCCAGAATTAGTTTTAGCCCTGGGAGGCCGGCATTTGAAGGCACTGAAAATGTGTATACTTACATATGAACTGGCACTGACAATTTGTATACTTACATATGAACTCCCAGGAGAATGCAACTCCGCATGTGGGGTCTTCGACGTCCAAAACTCACATCATGTGTTCCAAGTTCAGATTGTACCACATACAAAGGCCAGCGCACGCTCAGTCCAAAATCTGACGTGATCGTGATGGTGATGGTGGCTCGCATAAGGGTCGTCGCAAAAGTTTTTTGTCGTCCCTGAAACGAACATGATTCATTTGGGGGGGAGGGGGTGCGAGCCAAAATCGCAAGTCGACCGACACTGTACATATGACATGTACATGCATGCGATTTTCGTCGTCCAGCGTAGCAAACTGTGTTCGTTTCAGAGGGAGGGGAGGGGGTCCAAGTACGAAATGAACGATGTTCGTTTCAGGGACGACAGAAAACTTTTGCGACGACCCCTAAGCTGAGTGGGTTTCTATCAGGGAGTGCTAGTTTTTCAACTCCACTGGTCACTACTCTAAAACGGGAACGCTACACCACGTGATTTGAGTTGTCACTGACGGCAGATGCCATAGAAAGGGTACCGAGGGGTGCACACTCTTGGGAGCTCAGGTACTCCTGGTGGTTGTGCTAGTAGATCAACCAAACTGGTTGATCTGGTTTTTTTTTTGTCAAGTCAGTTTTGATTTTCTATTTTCTGTTGTTTGGTTGCTTTCGCGGACAAAGCTAGGTTTGTTCCAGGGAGTCGTAAAATACCGGTATTTTACGACTCTCTGGTTTGTTCCAGACTACACCAGAGGCAAAGAGTCTACAAGTCCGCGGGTGAAATATGTTGCGCTTATTCCATCTAATTGAGGCTGAGTGCTAAACGGCTGTGGCTTTGACTGTTGCTATTGATGTTGTGCAGGAATTTCAAACACATCCATCAGTACGGCTGTGGTGCAACTCTGAAAAGCATGTGTGACTTGCAGGAAATGAATGACACCAACACCAAGTTACACGTTACTCCGTTCTTCCTCTCGAATAACAAATATGCTCTTTCCGAAATCAAGCTTTACTGTGGAACGCCAAGTAAGTCTGCCTGTGTGCCATTCATGAGAGCAAGAGTACATAACCCCCCAGAGTGTGCAACTCCACTGTGGGTGCTGTCCCGACAGAATTTCAAGTTGACGTCATTTTGATCATGCAATGCACACTGTACACGGATTATCAGACGAATCCTGAACCTGTGGTTGACCGAAGCCGATCGATCCTGTACAAATTATTGGAAAGAAAAACGTGTGATGCGTTGACACCCGTACACATGTTGTAGATCACTGGTGCAAGGCGCATTGCGTCATAAATAATGACGTCAACTTGAAATTCTGTCGGGACAGCAGGGTATGTGGGAGTTGCACACTCTGGGGGTTATGTACTCTTGATGAGAGGGGGAGGTACATAGTTGCCAAATTTGGTCCGAGTCCGGTTTCAAATACCCAGACGCACATTTTCCTGAATGTCCTAAAAACGCTTTCTATCACAAGGTTCTAGCCAGGGGGGGGGGGGGGGGAGGCACAGCCCTCCTCCCTGTTCCCCCCTGTCCCCTGCTCATTTTCCGATTTTTGTGTTTTTTCATTCCATTCAACGAAAATGCAGTCGATAGTCAGTACTAGAGGGTTCATAAAGGCGTGTTTGTCTGGGGTGAAGTCAGGTGTTCGCCCCGTATGTTGCATTTCGCATTGCAAGACAGTTATTTTCAAAATCGAAAAAAAATGGGTTACGGGGTAACTGTTTTCCCTGCCCCCCCCCCCCCCCCCCCACCCCACCCCGCCCCCTCTACTATTTTGACCTGGCTAGAACCCGGCTATCAGATAAGGCCGATGGTAGTTCTCGTGCTAAGGTTGTGCCTGTCCTCTCGTACCTATGGCCTCATCTCTTACGCGTGGCTTCATTTCATACCCATTGCGTCACGCAGCGTCAGTTCATACCCATTGCGTCGTCTCTCATGCAAATTACATCATCATGATGTCATCTCGTGCAAAATGACATCATCACTCTCTGTGTGCTCTGACTGGTAATGGGCCTCTGACTGGTACGTTTATGCCTTCTGTTCTCCAGGCTATGTGCAAGCAAACGGGCAGTCAAAGGGTCTAGTGGGATGCTATAGACCGCTGACGATCGCTGCTGGACCCACAACTACACAGCCCACTCAAGACCGAGCAGCGGAAGGAAACGTGGCTCCAGCTACCACTGCTCGTGCCGTCGACTCTGCACCCACGACCAAAGCAGCCGCTGCACAACCGGAGGAACCCCTCCAGACTCAGAACCCCCAGGGCAATGCACAGCCTGGACCACCCACCGACCCTGCAGTTCCTGCACCCATGACCAAAGCAGCCGGTGCACAACCAGAGATACCCCTCCAGACTCAGAACCCCCAGGGCAATGCACAGCCTGGACCACCCACCGACCCTGCAGTTGCTGCACCCACGACCAAAGCAGCCGGTGCACAACCGGAGGAACCCCTCCAGACTCAGAACCCCCAGGGCAATGCACAGCCTGGACCACCCACCGACCCTGCAGTTCCTGCTACCGTCAACAACCAGCCAAACAGTGCTGTAGGCACAGCAGCACCTGTGCAGCCCAACCCCGCTCAGCCTGACCACTCTACCAGCCAAGGGCTCTCGGATGGAAATAAAGCTCCCGGAGCGGACAGCCCTACTCAACCTGCTGATGTTCCTCCGCCCGCTGGCAACCTCCCACCGGCTGATGGTACGCCTTCACCAGCAGACTCTGGTAAACGGCAAGCCGCACCCACAACAGCCGCCGTGCCCAGTCTTGGTGACAAGGCTCTTGACCAGACTACCACCACGGCCCCTGCCCCGGCCACCACCACCGTCGCCGCTGCTGCTGATCAGGATGACAAAAAAAGTATTGATGTCGCTACAAAAGTGTTCACTGCACCACAGGCTGGGGATTCAGCAGGCGATAAGGCACCAGCTGTGGTGACTACCCCAAAGGCGGCAGATTCCGCCGCACCAGCCACCACTCCAGCTGCTGCTAATGCTAATGCTAACACAAGCACTGCTGCACCTGCACCAGCCCAGTCGACCGGTCACTCGTCATTGAACAATCCTGCCGCTCCGAAGGCGGCCGATGGAACCGAATCTCCAGCTGCCGGTAACGGTGACAACGATGCAGGTCACCGTGGTAACAATAACGTACCGGCTCACACTCCGCCAGCATCCAATGTCATTGTCACCGAGAACCTGGCTGAGAATGACACCCGGGTGACAGAGGCAACCAACGCAGCTGACTCGGCTGCTAACACTGGCAGTAGCGGCAGCAGAACCACCACCGCACCGACACAGCCACAGCCGGCTACAACCCGAGTGCAGCAAACGCTACCACCCGGTGTCGAGAGAACTGCTCCCGTGGAGGGCACCGTGCCCCAGGAGCTGCCTCCGTCGTCACCAGTCAACCCTGACCTGATCTCTGGAGCTGGTGCGAACAAGAATGATGTACCGCCTAGCTGTGAGTTGTGTGGTTAGATGTTGTTGTTGTTGTTGTTGTTTCAAATCTTTATTCTCACGATGGCCTGTGGCCTTTGTTTGTTGTTGTGGTTGTTAGAGGAAAACAAACTAACACGTGCACTACAAATGAGACACTGACAGCTTCGACGAAGCCTTTCGTACCATAACTCTTCAAAGTCGTTACAATGGCGATACGAGAAGCAGAAAGCAAGTCCGTATGTCTGGCGGGTTTTTTGGCGGTCAGCGCAGTGACAAGATAGCACCCAAGAGAGCACTAGTGGCGCCAACTACGTAGTGAGACAATCAATACAGATATCACTATAACTACATTGTGAGACAATCAATATACAGGTATCAATGCAACTACATATTGTAGTGAGACAATCAATACACAGGTATCAATGCAACTACACATTGTAGTGAGACAATCAATACACAGGTATCAATGCAACTACATATTGTAGTGAGACAATCAATACACAGGTATCAATGCAACTACATATTGTAGTGAAACAATCAATACACAGGTATCAATGCAACTACATATTGTAGTGAGACAATCAATACACAGGTATCAATGCAACTACATATTGTAGTGAGACAATCAATACACAGGTATCAATGCAACTACACATTGTAGTGAGACAATCAATACACAGGTATCAATGCAACTACATATTGTAGTGAGACAATCAATACACAGGTATCAATGCAACTACATATTGTAGTGAGACAATCAATACACAGGTATCAATGCAACTACATATTGTAGTGAGACAATCAATACACAGGTATCAATGCAACTACATATTGTAGTGAGACAATCAATACACAGGTATCAATGCAACTACACATTGTAGTGAGACAATCAATACACAGGTATCAATGCAACTACATATTGTAGTGAGACAATCAATACACAGGTATCAATGCAACTACATATTGTAGTGAAACAATCAATACACAGGTATCAATGCAACTACATATTGTAGTGAGACAATCAATACACAGGTATCAATGCAACTACACATTGTAGTGAAACAATCAATACACAGGTATCAATGCAACTACATATTGTAGTGAGACAATCAATACACAGGTATCAATGCAACTACATATTGTAGTGAGACAATCAATACACAGGTATCAATGCAACTACATATTGTAGTGAGACAATCAATACACAGGTATCAATGCAACTACATATTGTAGTGAGACAATCAATATACAGGTATCAATGCAACTACACATTGTAGTGAGACAATCAATGCACAGGTATCAATGCAACTACATATTGTAGTGAGACAATCAATACACAGGTATCAATGCAACTACACATTGTAGTGAGACAATCAATACACAGGTATCAATGCAACTACATATTGTAGTGAGACAATCAATACACAGGTATCAATGCAACTACATATTGTAGTGAGACAATCAATATACAGGTATCAATGCAACTACATATTGTAGTGAGACAATCAATACACAGGTATCAATGCAACTACACATTGTAGTGAGACAATCAATACACAGGTATCAATGCAACTACATATTGTAGTGAGACAATCAATACACAGGTATCAATGCAACTACATATTGTAGTGAGACAATCAATACACAGGTATCAATGCAACTACATATTGTAGTGAGACAATCAATATACAGGTATCAATGCAACTACATATTGTAGTGAGACAATCAATACACAGGTATCAATGCAACTACATATTGTAGTGAGACAATCAATACACAGGTATCAATGCAACTACATATTGTAGTGAGACAATCAATACACAGGTATCAATGCAACTACATATTGTAGTGAGACAATCAATACACAGGTATCAATGCAACTACATATTGTAGTGAGACAATCAATACACAGGTATCAATGCAACTACACATTGTAGTGAGACAATCAATACACAGGTATCAATGCAACTACACATTGTAGTGAGACAATCAATACACAGGTATCAATGCAACTACATATTGTAGTGAGACAATCAATACACAGGTATCAATGCAACTACATATTGTAGTATCAATACAGAGCATAAAGTCAAACCACAGGGTGGACTACGGTACTACAATGTCAAAACAGTGAAGACTTTCGCACATACCTCTTCTGCCCACACACACACAGTTCAGGTTTTGGCGTGGCAAAATATACCGCCTCCAGCACAGCTCTCTTAGGTGCTTTTTTTGTCACTGCTCTGGCCGCCTAAATGCCAGATATAAAGATTTGTTTGCTGTTTCTCTTCTCAACATTGTAATGGACTTTAAGAGTAATGGTACGAAAGGCCCCGTCGAAACTTTCAGTGGCTTCTTTGCTGCATGTGCGAGTTGAGTGTTGCGTACGCTTTGCGTTCGGCTGCGGGATCCATTGGGAAGATGTGCAGTATGGACTTGAAACTGCCTGCTTAGATGCACGGAGCTGGTGTCTCACTCAGTGCCCTCGCTCTGCTTTGTCTCCTGTACTTTCACAGCTGGTTCAGGCAGCTTGATAGGTATCGCTGCTGGTGCTGGCGCTGTCGTTGTTATTGCTGTGGCACTGCTCGTCTATCGCTTCAACTCCGCGTAAGTTGACATGAGCCCAGGTAGTTTTATTTTATTACGGCCATAAAACGGATCGACTGCGCACATACACACATCAAGGCAACGGTAGTGGGTAGGTTCAAGAACGTTTCGCGTGATTGTCATCAGTGGGATTAACATCACAATGCGCAGTTGATCCTTTTTATTGCCATTATTAAATGTTTGTCTCCACATAGGTTATGTTAACTGTGTTTTTGTTTTTGTTTTTGAAACCGTCCACCTCTCCACACTGCATTAAAGGGGAAGTATACCCTAAAATCAAATTTTCACCAGTTGTAGTCTTCGGGGTGCTGAGTCGAATGGTCTTGGTCCGAGGAAACTGCGACGCTCCCTTCCTTCTTTTTTTCCCAATCGAACTCGCGCACTTTCACCGAAACTGGGTGACAGCGCCCTACTAGATGGAGATTTGTATGCAAAATGTCACTAAAAGCGCCATGTTGTTCTTATAAAAGCACGGATGACCGCGATTGGCCCATATGTTGTAGTCTTTTGGACGCTGAGTCGACTGGTTTTGGTCCGAAAAGGCTGCGATGCAGCGTTCCCCCTTTATTCCCAATCGAACATGGATGAACAAGCGGTCACGTGCTCCTGGGTGCCCAAATCACCTGGTCACCACGCCAGCAGGCGACAACTTTCACACCAAGGTTCAACTCGAGTTCAGCTCGAGTGACAGGACTGCACCCAAAAAAGGTCAAACGGGCTAGTAAGTTGTACCCTGCAGGCACGTAGACCAGGTGACTGGTGTACGCAGGAGCACGTGACCGCATGTTTAACCATGTTCAATTGGGAATAAAGGAGGAACGCTGCATCGCAGCCTTTTCGGACCAAAACCAGTCGACTCAGCGTCCAAAAGACTACAACATATGGGCCAATCGCGGTCACCCGTGCTTTTTTAAGAACTGCATGGCGCTTTTAGTGACATTTTGCATACAAATCCCCATCTAGTAGGGCGCAGTCACCCAGTTTCGGTGGAAGTGCGCGAGTTCGATTGGGAATCAAGGAGGAAGGGAGCGTCTCAGCTTCCTCGGACTAAGACCATTCGACTCAGTACCCCGAAGACTACACCTGGGGAACATTTGATTTTAGGGTATACTTCCCCTTTAAGGAGCATCTATCTAGGAACGGCTATGGTGTGGTGAATGTAGGCCAAGAACGCAGTGTGGAGAGGTGGACAGTTTCAAAGTATTTTCAAATGGCCGAGCCCGTCGCAACTTCGGGTAATCAAGAAAATGGAAAATGGAGCTGTGGTTGTACTTTGTAGCATCTTAACACCCAAGGGCTTGCTAGTCTACACATGCCATTGGTTATACGTCTATAAATAAAGCAGCGGCCCATGAAAGAGTGTGCAGCTCTGCATTTCTTAATGCCGTGGCATTGGTTGCGAGCACCCACCCTGGCACGCAGGACAGATCTCCACATTCTACGTTAACCCACCGGTGCCATTTGTATGCCAATTTGCAAGCTCACTTCTCAGATGCTGTGACGTGTGGGCATACCGTGCAGGCTAGATCAATGAACACCTACACACGCAGCACTGACTGTTGGCGAAGATGGGGCACTCTTATTGCCGTGCTGTGCTGTTTTGGTGTCAATTGAAGTCGGGCGCATCAGAATTCATTATAGTATGATTGCGCTCTTCTTAAAGGGAGTCCTGTGCTGCCTAATTCAAAATCTCAGCTGAAATTTAGTGCAAAGCAGTATAATGCTGTGCTGGCCTACAATTGTATTGTTTGTGGCTGAAACTCTTTCCTGGTGGCTTTTCAGTTGTCCTGTGCCGGGCCAAAAGGGCAGCATTGGACCAGAGTCTGTGCTGTGCTCGGAATGAACGACTTCTCTTGTGTTTTTGTGTGCGTGTGTGGGCGTGTGTGTGTGTGTGTGCGTATGCATGTGCGTCCACGGTGGTGTGCGTGTATATATCTAGGGCTCACAAACGCAATCTCACAACGTCCACACCTTCAAGGGCGGGGAGCAAGAAACCTATCCTGCCCAAGGCCAGCACGCCCTTGGTCAGTGAACCCGCGGGAGAGAGCTACGAATGCTGCATCAGCAACTCCATCTCCACCGAAGAAGATATGTACTGTGACTACGAGACTCTGCCCGTCGACATGGCCTCGCTTGGCAAGAATGGGCCGTCGACCATTCCCGAGTGCCGAGCAGCCTACTCGAGCGGATCTGCGCGCAGCAGTATGGCGTTCACCGATGCAGAGGAAGAGTCTTACGAAACCACGCCGGCCCAGGAGAACTATGCCAATGGTCTGCAGCCAGCTGGCACGCCGTCGGATGACACGTATGATGACCCGACTGCCGTTGCCATTGCTAGCAACACTGACTATGCCAACAATGCTCCTACCCCCTTGCCTGCGTCTCTGCAGAATTACGGCAACAAATTACTGCCAAACAGGTTCAACTCTGTGCGAGGAAAGCAGTCCGCTTCCCCGCTGAAGCGTAAGATCGGTGGCTCGACCAGGGGCGATGACAGGCAGCAGTACACAAAGCCAGGTGTCAAACTTGGCAAAGTGGTGTCAGTGGACGACGGCAATATCTTCAAGCTTGAAGAAGTTGTCTATGATCATACGGATGACTTGAAAAACTTGGCAGCGGCGTCGCCGGTTGCCGAATCGGATATATACGATTGCCTGGGTGGTGGTGATGTCCAGCAGCCAAACCTTGCTTCTCAGAATAACATCGACTACAGAAACGCAACGGACTTATTGGCCATGGATGCGACAACCGAAGCCGAAAGCAACTACGCTCTCACGTACGACACGAGCATCATGCAGTCCACGGCCGACCCGGCCGTCGAAAGCCTGTACAACATGTACGAAACCACCCCAGCTCCGAAACGTAAGGACACTGTTGCCGTGCTTGAAGAAGACATGTACCTGCCAGCGTCTCAGGTCGGGCCCGGGCCAGCAGCAGCTGTGGATGAGACCTACAGTGATCTGCCCTGCCTGGATATGGATATGGAAGCCGAGGGCCTGGAAGAGGACATCATGACCACCTACGACGTGCTCTGCGCCGGTGGAAGTTTCGAAGACAAGAAGGCACCAACGTCCACCGACAGTGCCAAGATGGCCACGCAGCCTAGCCGCCGCTTCAAGAAGTCGTTTCGCCGCTCCGTCAAGCGCTCGTAATCTGTATTGCGGGCACGCGTCCCGAACGCCTTGTTCCGTTTTCGGGTCGGGCGCAGATATCTAGTGTAGCTCCTAAGACTGTGTGTGTACTGCTACGATATTGCTCAGTACTTGGTCCACACAGCACACAGCACACTGCTTTTTGTCAGCGCTGTAGCACTGTTGCCTGCAGCACAATAAGCTATTGTTAATCCTGGCCACTTCTTGCCACACTGCTGGATCTGACAACGACGTGTGCAGCGTTCAGTTTTAGGGCATCGAAACTCGGCAGTCCCCCCCCCCCCCATGACAAATTTTATATTGGAGCACATCCAGCATTGAAACCAAGCACTTGAGCAATATGTGTGTGTGTGTGTGTGTGTTTGTATTCAGCATGATGATTCCTTTTTCCAGACTTGTACCTCTTTTCACAGTTTACTAGTCAGCTGTTTGTAATAATTTTTGCGCCCAGTTTCCTACTTCACTTCTTGGGGAGCACTATTTTTCCTCTTCCGTCCGTACTTGACTAAGTATCTGCCCGTTGCCTAATTTTATATTTTAGTTTCGCTCACGTGAAGCCCATTGTGCAAAGGGGCCAAACCAGTTGAGCGCAAGTCAACTTTTTCGCGATGCTACTTGTTCCCGTACGCGAAATGGCTCTTTTTCTTCTTATTCTTCACTTGAAGCTTGTGTCCTCGCTGTTCGTTCCAACTGCAGGATGCACAATATCACTTTCAGTCAGCAAACCCATGAGAAACACGTCACTTCACTGTCACTAGCTGCACTGTCACTTACACAAGTTACACTACATGTACAGTGAAACCTGTCTAAAGGGACCTTGAAAACGTGGTCTCTGTTACCAGGTGGTCTAGTCTCCTCATCCACGGTCATTTGACTGGAAATAGCATCCCTTGATCCTGGTTTCAGTGGTCTTCCAAGACAGGTGGTCGCCTTGACAGGTTTTACACTGGGGGTCTGACGCCTCTCAGATGTGCACCAATCTGCAACGCAAGGGGTTGCAGTAACATTGTGCTTTGATTTGAAGCGCCCATGGCCCACCCCACCCATCATGCCAAGAGTAGATTATCATTCCAAACAGAACAAAGTTACAATGCAGCTCACCGGCACGACCCCGACAGCACCAGCACTAGCCTGCATACACTGAAGGAGCGGTGTGATCACCAGAACAAACACACCTGCTAAGCAATTAGCATAGCCTGGTGCCAGGTGTCATGCTGCCTATAGAAATTATTTATACGGAATTGAAAAAGAAAAGAAAAGCTCAAAATTAATAAATTTTAAAAGATGCAACACCACATTGTGTAGATGCATACTGGCAAGTCAGGGAAGAAGATATGCAATGTGGCATGTGAAAAGTACAAACCCAGTGGCTCTGGAGATAAATTCAGATAATTGACACTGCTATTCGGTACATGCATGAATTTCCTATAAATTTGACAGAAAATTTAGAACTAGAATGATCTCTTTGGACTGTTTGATATAAAAACCATCTAAGTGGACTGTGATTTCAAATGGTGAACGGTACTATTCGGCCAACAATATGTAAACAACTCTTCCTTTCTTTCTTTCTCCCTTCCTTGTATGGCTGTTGGTGTGTGTAATGGCTACCGAGGGTAGCAGTGAGTCGGCTGTGAGAGCGCATGGAGGAGAGGAGAGGAAGAGTTCTTTAAGTGGACTGTGTGATAATCTACTGGTGATATAGCTGTAGACAGTAGTGTAGCGTAGTTAGTGGTGATGACAAGTTGAAAACGAACATCGGGTTTGTCACCGCATCTAATGATCTTGGCCAAGGAGGCCTAGGAAATACTGACAATAGCGTGCGCTCCATAGTTGACATCATAGCAGGAGGGGGGGGGGGGGGTGGACCATGCTGATATGGACAATGCCAGGAGGTGCTGGTACTCTTGACAATCATCGGCTATCTACAAGTACTTGGAACTCAACCGACGTAGATGCAAGTGGAGTCCGGCGAGCGAAGGCACGGAGAGCATGTCGGTTGTAGCTCAGAGGTCGGAGGTGTTGTATCGGAGAGTCTCACTGCTCCTGCCAGGTTTCTGTAGCTAGGTCAGAACTAGGTCGGAGGTATTGTAGTGGAAAGCCTCGCTGCTCCTGCCAGGGCTCCGTTGGTTTGGACTGTGCCTTGTGCAGTTTAACAAAAGCCGGATTACAGGCACATGTACAGAACTCTCACTCCATGAACACATGCTGTGTCAAGCTGGTCTAGCGACCACCCAGAACATGGCTATACGCCCTTGTCTGTGATGGTCCCTGTGTGGCGACAATCTGTGCAGGTTGTGCTGAACTTGTATGGTCTGCAGGAAAACAACATGTACGCATGTACACACACGGCCACACACACACACACACACACACACACACACACACACACGCGGCCACACACACACACACACATGTGCACACACGCACACACACACTTGCACAAGTCAGCAAAGAGAGAAGGAGACGGTGTGTGTGTGTGTGTGTGAGAGAGAGAGAGAGAGAGAGAACATTGAAAAGAAAGGATATGCAAATCCAGGACTGTATCACCTAGTCCGGCCGGTCCAGTAATGGCTGGACCCTATTCGAAAAAGTTGACCCGTCCAGATCCGATGCAAAACGGGTTTTTTGTCAGCTATGTCCATTTCCGCGATCAAGTATCCCATTTGGCCGGACTACCTGAAATCCCCGTGCCACTGTCCTGAAATTGCCTATTATACCACATCTTTCCCAATCACGACGCAGGGTCGGCTTTTTTTGTATTACTCACCCAATCGCTCCTGCTGCCGCTGCCGTTGCTCCTGTTTGTATTGCATGATTCTATCGTGCCCGAGAAGAAATTTCACACACACACACCAATTCCCAGTGTGATGGAAAGCAGCGGCACAACAGAGGCTATGATGACAGTGGTCGTCACGGTTCGATGCTTTGGGCCCTTGTCATGCACGTTTGGTTTTGTCGGTGTTGGCTGCTGTTTGCTCGATTTTGTCGGTGAGTTGATAGCCATGTTAGCAGTAGACGTGGGCACGGAAGCAGGTTGAGATGCCCTGGTAGTGTTACCACCAGTGGGCTGTGTGTCATTGGCTGGTGAAGTTGTTGCTTCGGCGTCTGAGCCATTCGCGACCGCTGCTTGTGCTCGTGATGCCACTGGTGGGGTTTGAGGGGTCATTGCTGGCGCTGGCGGAGGTGGTGATGTCTCTGCAGGCGGGGTATGTGTGGTGCTGATCGCGGCGGGCTGGGCAGTGCCCCGTGTTGCTGGTGCACACACTGGTCTCGGGTTTGTCAGTGTACATGCCTTCACAGCCACCTTGCCAGCAGGACATCTGTAGCATGTGTCGCACGCTTCAATGGGTAAGAAAAAGAATCTACAGAGGAGATCAAGCAGAGACAACAGACAGCCGTGTCATGTACTCTTTGTTGTGCATCACCAACCATTCATAATTGTCCTGCAAAATAGAATGGCATGAGCTGAGACATGATCAGTTAATGAGGTCATGAATAAGATAAGATGTGCCGTCATCACCAAACAGTGGCAAACACACATCACAAGGAAGTCCTATCCACAGGGATCATAGCATTTTCTCGTGACAATCATGAAAAATCCTGAAACTCTATGGTTACCATAGCGTTTCGGGATTTTTCATGATTGTCACGTGGCCAGTCAATGGCAGTGGAAGGGCATGCATGTGTGTGTGTGTGTGTGTGTGTGTGTGTGTGTGTGTGTGTGTGTATGTGTGTGTGTACGTGTGTGTGTGTATGTACAGTCAACTTCGCTAATAACGACTGCGGATATAACGACAATTCGCGAATAACGACCGAATTTCCATGCCCGGAGCAAAGTCCCATCTAACTGTACACATTTTACTTCGGATATAACGACTATCTGAATAACGACAATTCGCGTATAGCGACATGCTTTTAGTGCCCCGAGGTCATATTCACTGCTTGAATAACGACTTTCTGGGCTTTTGACAGCTATTTCAAGTACCTGTCAGTCAAGTACATGTACATGTACATGTACCTGTCATGCAGAAGTACCAGAACCTATGGTGATGGATATAATGCACACATGCAAGAAAATGCAGCCAAGGGGGGGGGGGGCTTTTCTTCCTTTTTATGTTGGCTTCAAAATTGTTGGATTTACCAGCACACCTACATGTATATGTATACAATGTACATGTAGTTGTACAAGATTGTACAGTAATCATCATACATGTACATGTCTCTGGCCCTGTAGATGGCTCAAAAAGGCATACTTTTCAATTGATTTCCCTTGCATATTGAATTTTTAGTTCCTTTCAACTGCAATATGAAAATAAAGTACACATTGACATAGAGCAAGAAAAGAGCTTGATTTTGATATGCATGTCATACTATACAAAATATTGGTTCACATACATTCAAATGGGACTTCGGTTATAAGGACACTTCGCGAATAAGGACACTTTTCTGATGCCCCGCCGAATGTCGTTATTGGCGAAGTTGACTGTACATGTGTGTGTGTGTGTGTGTGTGTATGTACAATAGCCAATTGAGTCATCTTTCCAAGATTCCTTTCGAGTCTCTCTCCCCTCTCCCGGGGAGACCCACATGACCAGTTTTGGCAGTGTGCAACAAGTACAACAAGTGTATGTACATGTGTGTGTGTGTGTGTGTTTGCAGCTTTGCTCACCTTCCTTCTCCACACTTATCGCATGTTGTGTCAGTATCTTCAGTGCAGTATCTTTTCTTTTCTTGACCCTATAAAGTACACACACATATACAGTCAACTTCGCTAATAACGACTGCGGATATAATGACAGCTCGCAAATAACGACAGAATTTTCATGCCCAGAGCAAAGTCCCATCCAACTGTAACACATATAATGGGACTTCGGGTATAACGACACTTCGCGAATAAGGACACTTTTCTGATGCCCCGCCGGGTGTCGTTATAAGCGAAGTTGACTGTACATAATATATACACACCCAACAAAACACACACACGTGCGCTCGCACGTGCACACACACACACACACACACACACACATATACATTTTTTGTACTCTATACTGGCAATGACATGCGAGTGTTAACATTACTTACCAAACCACTCTCATGTGGACATGTTATGGTGGAGCACTTCTTGCATGGTCTATCCTTTGGCAGGAACTCTGCGAGAAGTGAACACACACGCCATTACACACACACACACACACACACGCACGCACGCACGAACGCACACCCACACCCACCCACCCACACACACACACACACACATAAACTTGCATCTAGGTAAACGCACACGCCAGTATACAGGTCAAGAGGGGCTAACAGTGACACAACGCATATATTATTAATTTATTCCTGTAGCTATGCAGAAGACGTTCCTTCAGTAACGTCTGGCGCTAGCCAGAGTCCACACAGCTTTAATTTGGCGTTTATTTGTTTGTTTCTGTCACGCCTGGCGCTATCCCGCATCTGTCCCGTACCGTACCGTACCATCAAAGACAGCTGGCCACAAACACCTGGCCACAATATTCAAATAGGGCTTTCAAACGCAAGATCATAAAGTGAAGCAACTTGGACGAATGAGTATGAATGCGAAGTGTATCGGGGAATTCATGTAGGGCGATAGTGCGGGTTCGAATCCCAGGTTATGCCTTGAAAAAATAGGAGAATTGAAAAATTCATAACATCCCTATGCTTTTTTTGCCTAGGTCATCAAGGCGGTAGACGGTGTTGTATTACCCTCGACTGTACCTGTCCCGTACCGTACCATCAAAGGCGGCTGGCCACAATATTCAAATAGCGGAAATAGGGCTTTCATAACGTGAAGCAACTTGGAAGAATTAGTATGTATGCGAAGTGTATCGGGGGATGCATGCAGGGCGATAGTGCGGGTTCGAATCCCTGGTTAACCGGTTATGTCTTGAAAAAATATAGCAGAAATTTATAAGAAAATTTATAACATCCCTATGCATTTTTTTGTCTAGGTCATCAAGGCAAAAAAGCATAGCGTAGGGCGTAGGGCCCTGAGCTTCCAAGCTCTCTTGTTATAGGGACACACAGTAACTGCAAATATTGCGATTCTATCCACCTCTTCCTAAAATAAAATGATGACCCCGTCATTGGCCCACTCTGACTGCTATGCAACCATGGCAACCGGAAGAGCTATAGTAGGATCTGGAAAATCATCACTTGACGCATGTCAGATATTTATTCATTTATTTCCGCACCTCGTAGCATGTGAAACAGCCAAATAGAATTGAGGAGAGGGTGAGACCAACCACGGCAGAAAACGAGGAAAAGAAAGAAAGTTGTAGCTTGCAGCGCGGTGCTCGTCAGAGATATTATTTCTACCACGACGAGTGATTGTTGCCCAGGTTCATATCGAGGGTATCATCAAGAGTACATAAGCCCCAAGAGTGTGCAACTGCCTGCACAACCTCTATGCAGTGCTGCGACAGCAGAACTTTACATCACGTGACATGGTTCAAAAGGTTACCCTGGCACAAGCAGTGCAAAGTGACCACAAGAGAGTTGTACCCAAAGCTGGGTTGCGTACAACCCTGTATCTATCATGCACAGAGTGTAAAAAAATGTGTACGGGTTCATCACGTGATGTAAAGTTCTGCCGTCGCAGACCCCATGGCTGGAGTTGCACACTCTTGGGGGTTATGTACTCTTGGTATCATCCACTGGTCAGGTGACAGTGGATACTCCGACTACATAATTATAGAAGATAAGCTGGCCTCGTTGTCCATATTTGGCAAAATTCAGTGGCAGCAGGCTGGTGGCAAACCCAAATACTAGTACATGTAGGTGTGAAAATGTAGTGTGATGTGACTAATCAACTACCCACTGCACTCGCACCTCGTTTATCTGGGCAGTCCGGGGCCGGACACTGCCCGTAACCTTGAAATGCCCGTAACTCCGAATCACATCCATTTCGATTTGGAAAGGTCATAGATATGGCATATGGTGTCACTATTTCCACAAAAAGTGACAAAGGAGTAGTAATATTTACACTGAAACTCGCCCGAACGGTGCCCGGTAGACCGAAGTGCCCGTAACTTCGGGGTCCGGATAACCGAGGGCTGAGTGTATATACATGTATATCCAATGACATGCCTGTCCTGCTCTAGGCATAATTATGTCATTATGCCCGGCTGTCTGACGTCACATTGAGGCATGTTTGAGATATGGATCGTTTGGTCATTTGGCCGCCGACCCTCAAGTCACGTTGGAAAGCAAATCAAGCAAGCTCAGGGCCAGTCACGCTAGCTGGATATTAGGGAAATTCTGGAGTACGATTTTTCGTGCCAAAATCCGTACAGGCGCTACAGATTTTTATACGTCGTTTTCGAGCAGTGAAATGTTCCGGAGTACGGAACTTATGTGTTTGCCATCATTGCCTAGGTTACGATCGCAAACACGTCACATTCCCGCGCTGTGCGTTTTTATTTTGAAAATTTGTACCGAAATCAAAACTTCCTGCGGAAAATCGATATTTCTCGTACCAAATTTGTACGCGAAAATTTTTCTGCACCCGATGACGCAAAATCTCCATACGAAACATGGTTCGTATGAAAGCCAGTCCACATGGATTCACCGTGCCGAAAAATCGTATGGAGCACGCCTGGAAAAAAATCCGTAGCGCCCATACGGATTTTGGCACGGAAAATCGTACCCCGGAACCTCTCCATTGCCCCTTGGAAAAGTTCCTCAGGCTGTGCGCTCGCTCACGATCCAACCCCAATATAATTATATAACCTTCGCAGCATGCTTATTTTATTTTATTTTATTATTATTAAATTTCTAAAAGAGCAATCCCCACAGGCCTAATGCTTGGTGAGTCATGATGCATGGCCTCAGTGTTGCCATGAATCAACATGTATGATAGCACAATATGTGTACCCCCCCCCCCCTCCCCCCCCCCGGCACGCGCAAAAAATAAATAAAAACACACTCTTACAATCATGTGCGTGAAAATCACCCTCTTCCTGATGGTGTTCCCATGCAGGGCAATACGTTCATCATTACCTGAACAGAACGGAAGGGCAGGTGTTGTGACGGGTGGAGGGGTGACTTTGGCTGTTGTTTTCACTTCTGCTGCTGCTGGTGATGTTGATCTCGTATCCAATGTTTGCATTGCTGCTGCTGGTGGTGATGCTGATGTGTCCACTGTCACTGTTCTGGCACCGGTAGAGTTCGTTGAGGTGGATGTCATGAGTGTGGAGGTTTCTGCTGCTGTTGTTGCTGATGTATTTGTAGTGTTGGCTGCTGTCATGAGTTTGGTTGTTGCTGGCTGTGCTGATGCAGAAGTGTCCACTTCATTGGTAGTGGGAAGATGAATTGATGCGCTTGCAATGACCGGAGTGGTACTCGTACTGAGTCCGTCCGGAGTAGTTGTAGTAGTCGGAGCAGTAGTGAGTCTGGTTGGGGTGACGGTAGCTGGAATCACACTCGCAGGGGGCTGGGTGCGGCTCTGTTGCACTGGAGCACATGCCGGTTTCGGGTTGTAAAGCTTACATGCCTTCACGATAACCGTGCCATCAGGACAGGAGTGGCATCGGAGGCACATTCCAAGAACTCCCCACCAGTATCTACAGAGGATATCAAACAGAGATAGCAGCCTTGTCGTGAATGTCAAAGAATTCATCACCATGCTTCACCAACTGTCCTACATAACTATCCTATAAGAGTGAGATGAGCGGTCACATCACTTCATCAGGTACTTCGGTCTAGATGCCGCTTACTGTGTGTGACTGAGTGTGTGACTGAGTGTGTGACTGTGTGTGCGTGTGTGTGTGTGCGTGCGTGCGTGTGTGTGTGTGTGTGTGTGTGTGGTGTACGTAGCTTTGCTCACCTTCCTTCTCCACACTTATCGCATGTTGTATCAGTATCTTCAGTGCAGTATCTTTTCTTTTCTTGACCCTATAAAATGCACATACATATACACACATATACATAATATGTACACACCCAACAAAACGCACACACACACACGCGCGCGCGCGTGCACACACACATACATACATACATACATACATGTATACACTTTTGTACGCTATACTGACAATTACGTGTGAGTGATTACTTAATACTTACCAAACCACTCTCATATGGACATGTTATGGTGGAGCACTTCTTGCACAGTCTATCCTTTGGCAGGAACTCTGCGAGAAGTGAAACACACACCAATATATATATATACACACACACACACGCACACATACACATACACGTGCATGTACGCAAACACACATGCCAGCATACAGGTCAAGGGAGGCTAATACAATGCATATTCAGTGTACAGTGACACAAAAAAAACTGCAGAGACTGGAATTTTATCCACCTCTTCCTCAATAACATGATGACCCAATCATTAGCTCATTCCGATTTCTATGCAACCATGGCACTCTGAGGAGCTATAGTATGATCTACGGTCACTGGGAATTTTGTCTGTTGACGTGCTTCACAACTTGGAAGTATGTGATTTGCAGCAAGGTGTTTGTCGTAAATACTAGTTCTGCTATGCCGAGTGACCGTTGCCTAGGCAATAGCCAGCTGACCAGTGACCGGCTTTCCTGCTTCAGGCATCCCATTATCTCATCATGCCCGGCTGTCTGACATCACTGCTGTATTTGAGATGTGGACTGTTTGGCCATTTGGCCGTCGACCCTCAAGTCACATTGAATCAAACCAAGCACGCGCTGTGTCAGTCATCAAGACTGAATCTCGTCCCTTGGAAACATTCCTCGAGGCCTACAGCCCTTGGGCTGTGCCCGTGCCCAAGATCCAACCTTAGCGACCTTCAGAGCATTAATGATGACACGTGTACATCATGCATGGATGCGTGGCCTCCATGTTGAGTCAAGTGATGATTTTTAAACATGTTTACGGTATATCCGTACAACATGTCCCCCCCCCCCCCCACACACACACCCACACCCACTCTTATAATCATGTGCGTGAAAATAACTCCCTCCCTAATGGTGTTCCCATGCAGAGCAATACGTTCATCATTACCTGAACAGAACGGAAGGGCAGGTGTTGTGACGGGTGGAGGGGTGACTTTGGCTGTTGTTTGCACTTCTGCTGCTGCTGCTGGTGATGTTGATCTCGTATCCAATGTTTGCACTGCTGCTGCTGGTGGTGATGCTGATGTATCCACTGTCACTGTTCTGGTACCGGTAGCTGCACTAGTTTCCGAGCTACTACGAGTAGTGACGGATGACGCGGGCATGGTCATAGAATCTTCAACGGCTGATTTATTTGTAGGGATGGATGCAGTCGTGAGTTTTTTGGCAGTAGCGTGCGCCGCTGAAGCCAAGGTGTCTCCATCCGTTGTACCTGCAAGGTTAATTGATGCATTTGTAATGTTGGAAGTTGTAGTGACTCTGGATGCTGCTACTGCTGCTGCTGATGATGATGACGTCGATTTGTCTTGCTCAACCATGCTGGTATCGTTAGTTGGTTCACTGTACATACCAACGGCTACACTAGTTTCCGAGAGAATGTTCGTGAGCGTCTCCATGGCCGTGGATGTGCCTCCAGCAGCTGATGCACGTGCAGTGATTGAAGCAGCTGGGGGTCTCACTGGTGTTGTCACCGTTGATGATGAGGACGACAAATTGCCGGGGTCAGGGGCGCTGGGAATTTTGACTGATGCTGCATGTGTAGTGTTTGGTGCAGTGGTGACTTTACCTGGTGCTTGTACGGCTGATGATGGTGATGTGTCCAGTTCAGTTGTACTCACGCGGCTATCGTTAGTTGATGCATGAGACATTTCAACGGCTTCACTTGCTACTGAGATTCTGGTGTTTGCGGACGGCGGAGGCATGTCGGATACATCTTCCTTGCTTGATGCACTCAGAGCAAGCGACAGTACAAGAATCTGTAGTGTTGTGCACAGTGTAGACATGTGCAGATAACACAGCAATGAGTACAGTGCAGATAACACAGCAATGAGTACAGTGCAGAAAACACAGCAATGAGTACAGTGCAGATAACACAGCAATGAGTACAGTGCAGATAACACAGCATGCAATGAGTACAGTGCAGATAACACAGCAATGAGTAGAGAACACATGCAATCCACAGCAAGACATCTAGAATGGCAGCACCTATGCATATAACATGGCTGGGGCATTTCGCTAAGCAACTTGTCCCATATTTGGCAGGTACAACCAGCTCCAGAGCACATGTGAGCAGAACTGTGCACAGGTCATGCCTTTTTCAGCAGGGTCCGTATCACACAGCGCTAGCAGTTTAAACTATTGACGTCAGCCAGGATTCCTGTCGGTCATGGTCAAAAGAAGAGAGATATTTCCCTCCATTGTTCTACCATAGAACCGTAACTAGCGGGAACAAAAAATCGTGAGGAGCCTAGGTGCTTTCGCAGTGATAATACCCACAGTGCCACAGTGCTGTGCGTCAACCCTGGTCAGCTGTCAGTGAGTGTCAGTCAGTGGTAACACACACCCCTGACCAGGCTTGCACGTACTGATTGTCTACACTGCAGTCCCTGCTGGCAATGTGACATGCGCGCAGCACTCAATGACAGTTGGAGAGGCAAGCACGCTGCTAGTGACGCACAAAGCATTGTCCAGTGGCAAGCGGCCGCTTGTGAGCTCGTGTTGCGCCCTGGCATGTTCAGTTCAAGAAAATCCCGCAATACAGTGGGTAGTTTCCCCTCAGTGCTGCACACCGAGTACGCAAGCATGTTACGCAAGCATGTTGTCCGTTGGCTCAACAGGGTACACATGAACTTCACATGTGTGACAGGTACTTTGAAGTACATAGACATGTCGGTATACTCACCCATGAATGTACACAGGCAGTCAACTCTACAGGTCCCCCCATGCTCATGCATGGCATACAGAATATTGTTATGCATGCAGTGGTCCATGGGCCATGCCAGCATGACGGTGACACATCACACTGTGACTTGCTCATGCTCGCCGCCGCTGTCCCAGAGTCCAACAAGGGCACAAGTACATCACTGCCCTTCAGATTCTTACCAACAAAAATTGGGAGCTCTTTGCCCTTGGCAAGACAATGCTGGCAAAGACCAATACACGTGGGTTCATGGACAGACTTGACGGCAACTGTCTGCCACTGCAGGCTTTTCCGGAGTGATTCTGGAACCCTACACCGGCAGAGAAGAGGACAATGAAGAAGACAACTTTTTTAAGGTTCCTCTGGGTACCCTAGTTCACTTGGCAAAGAACCATCTTTACTGGACCAGACGTGGAGAGACTGGATGTGCATGACTGCGCTGTGAAGCTCACTGCTACGCTCTTGGTCGGCCGTCCTCTTGTCAGGCTACACCACTTCACTCAGCCCCCCCCCCGTTCTCTCAACGGGCAAACACATGTGCACTACCATCACAAACGTTGGTGGAAGGCCGCAAAACAAACAAAATCAGCCCCCCCCCCCCCCCCCAAGCAATCATACTTTCGCATTCCAAACTTCCCACCACGCATACATATGCGTGTGTGCATTCGTGAAGCCCGGCCTTGCAAATTTAGCTAGAAACACTAAGTCTTGGAGCAAATGTTTTTGTCCGTTTCGGACGTTTCTGCATAGGTACGAAAGCTTTGAACGGCCTTACTTAGACATGTAGATCGTGATTATGGGGATGGCGATACCATTAGTATTCATCACCATTGTACATGGTTTGCATCATAATAATACACAATGCTAACGACTCTTTTTGTAACTGCACTCGGATTGCCCTTAATGCCTTATAGCTCGCAGGACTCCACTGCACACATGCGGCAACAATGCCACATTCTGTCGCGTGTTTGTGCGTGAAAATGCCACGTCACACAGAATTCGCGTGCGAACGAGAAACGTTGCGAAGGTAGCAGCATGCATACCACCAAGAAACAGTTACTGAGGAAGCCTGACGGCCGAGCAGATTTTCTGAAAGAACGATTGTTCTGTGAGGTGCTTGGATATTATAGGAGCTGTGTAGCTTCAAGTTCAACAAAGGATGAACAGCAATCAGCATTACTGTGTAGTCTTGTGATCGCTAAATGTAGTACTACACTGCTGACAACTGAAATCCGACCCCCTGAGCGGTGCGCTCACGTCGCAAAGACCCAACACGGGATGGTAAAACCACGAAACAGAGACCGCTAGAAAGTAAACCCACCGCTCAGGGGGTCGGATTTCAGTTAACAGCACTGTATTATGTGCACGGTTAGTAGTAAACAGAACAAGCCTGATCATGGCTGACGCCAGAAATAAAACTGAGCGTGAGAAGAGCTAGAGTTAGAGAACACGGGCATTGGCATCCTGTGCCACTCACCTGAACTCCTACTAGTACTGATGTCCCTTCGCATTGTCATTGGCGTGGGAAGTAGGGTAGCAATTATTTCTTGACCTGGCTGACGAAGCAGTGCGCAGAGTCCGAACTTGCACACACTAACGAGTAACGTCTAACGACCGATCTGAACAGTGGGAGGAAGAAGCCTGGGGGCTAGTGCGGCCACAAAGATACGGGCGACCTGCAACGCAGTGCCCCTGCTTTACTGCCTTTAGCCTACAGTTGACAATGGTTTAGGTGCGCTCCTCTCCGCGGCGGCGGGAAATATTTCACTACTGTACCAGCGAAACACTTCTGAACTCTTCTCTACCAGGACAACAATGAATGTCTGCCTAGCGAAGTCGGTATTGAGAACCTTCTTCAAGCTACTGCCAGTAGGTACTGGTGGTTTCAGAGCACCCCAGCTCAAGATAAATGAAACTTAGTTGAACATTCTAGTCAGAGGACCTCTCGCTCTGTCACCACAAGGTCATGGTTCTTAGAGGATCGAACTACAAGTAATACTAGTTATAGTGACAGAACAGAGATTATGCTCTTGACGTTTGAAAGACGCTGGCTGGAACTTGTGCTAGACTTTCGAAGTCCAGCACAACCAGCTTCGAAGGTTGCGTACGTGTGGTTACCTCTTGCTTGCTGGTTGTCGGACAGAAGTCGATGGCAGTGTGCGTCACGTGTGAAAACACGAAACGAGCGTGTTATTCTGCCACTACTACAGTCTGTAGTTCGATCCTCGAATTGCGAAAGCTTCACCATGTTCGTGACATCCCCATTGTTGTATCCTTTGACGCTGCATATGCAGCGGTCCTTGATGTACGGTGCATACACACTTCACGTGGTCATGTAAGGAGATATCACACATACAGATGTACAAGTACATGTACGACAAACTAATACTCACGTCTTCAACATTTACTATATGTACGACGGCATGAGTAGAATTGTGGTCAAAAGGTTCCCTGGAGATACGGATCAGCGCACGTCGTTTGCACACTAGCAGGGGCGGGACGCATGCCGCACATTCATTACACCCGCTGAAGATAGTCCTGCGTCAATCGATTCTACGCAACAACAAGGGAGTGCAATTATCACCACCATGGTTGTCTGTGAGTAGGATAAATACATAAAGCTGGACATTCGGGGAGGGCGGTGCTCATCATCTCCTCTCCCCAGTTGCCTTTGCCTCCCCAACTGATGCTATGCTTATCAAACAAGCCAGCTTCTAAACTAGGACCATCATACCCACAGTCAGCAATAGATATCTACTTGTACTTGTACTACATCATACATGTGTATGCAGCAGCAGCATAATGCAAGACGCAGTGTACGCAATGCAGTGTACGCAGGCGAGAGTAGTTGGGAAGTATTGCTGTTAAAAAGCTGTAAATTGAATGAAGTGCCAGCGTTACAATTACCGGTATAGTGCTCGGCTCAGTGGCGAGTAGTTTATCTCAAGGGTTAGCTTGCTAAATATAGTGTTGCTAGTTAGGTCTCATCATCGCTCAACGTTCTATGCACAGAGGTCTCGAAATCAAGAACAAGTGTTGATCCCATGCTTAGCCCTGCAGTATCATAGGACCACAGAAATAGCCCTGGATGTGATCAATTATAGGCTTTTGCATGAAACAACTTTGCGTGGTGTTCAACCGGTGTGATCATGGTTTCACGGCGCACGGATTGTGAATGTGTATCAATGTTCTAGTAAGCAGTGTGCCGTCATTCAGCAGGAGAGGCAACTGCCCCGTGGCCTGAGTGTCTGACCTAGAGTGACCGCGCCACCGTCGACGCCATCAAACCCGGATGCATTGGTCCCGCTGTGTGAGCTGCCAGATGATGCCGAGCCAGAGCCAGTGCAGCTGAAGCCGATCATCTTGTGGCACACGTCCTGCAGCAGGTCTTCGATGTTGTCGCCGTTGCACGCGCTCGTCTCGAAGTACTGCAGACCTCGGGACTCGGCGAACGCTTTTGCCGTCTCTTCGTCCACCTGTGCAGACAAGATGAAGCAGAGACACGGACTCGGAATGTTAGCATCACTGTTCACGGCGACATTCAGCACTGCTGCATCTACCCGTGATAAGCAAAACAATGATTTTGGTACGTTCAAATTAACGGACTGCACAATTGAGTGACAGCCAGTCAAGCTTTCCGCCACCTGCAATCAACCAGACATTTACCTGTCCTATGAATAAGAAATACAGAGGACAGGAAAGGCTCAAGCGATCCACTGCTCTAAGCCATCGCGTAAATTGAGTAACTTTGCCAGATGGACAACGGGAGGAAAGCTGGACGGCACTGTCTTGCAGTGCTGCACACCGAGACTGTTCATGATCAGTACACACACACACAAGCACGTGTTAGTGGCTGCGTGGTGCTATCAACGTACCTCTCGTTTGCTCGCGACGTCGGACTTGTTGCCAATGACGGTCTTCACCACTTGCTCTGATCGCTGATATGTCAGCACCTGCATTCACCACGATCAAACACCAGCAACGGATGTCAGTATCATTATGAGTGGAATGCACACGGCATGGTACTGCTACAGACCAGTTCAGATAAACAAGCACACATGATTGCGTATTGCAAATTTGGAGCTACATAGGACCAGAGTAAAAGATTCGGGAAGATTTCACAGTCTGGACTTTGAAACTTGCCCTTATTAAACCAATGGGTATATTTGTCCTAAATAAAAATTCCAGCAAATTCAAACATGAGGAATCCATTGCTCCCTAAATTTGCTGGAGTGCAACCCTCTTGATCCTTTGTGTGAGAAACTGACTCAGGCCGGCTATTTACCTCGTCGGTCCAGAATAGCAGATCCTGGAAAGTCTCGTAGTTTGTGACGTCGAACACCAGAAAGACGGCGTGTGCCACGCGATAGAAACTTGTAGTGACACGGCCAAATCTCTCCTCACCCTGAAACAAAAAATGAAAGCAGTACAAGAAACACAAAAAGATGAGCACCTAAGCCAGTATCGCAACCAAGAGAACACAAACTGTGCGGTGACTATTCCTCCTATTGGTGCTAGATAACTACAATAACTCTCCTTCTTAGCCAGGTGTTCATGTGATGATGACGGCAAGATACACATTGCTGGGGTGGTCTGGTGCAAACTGCAAAGTCTGTGTTCAGAGGTACATGAATGTCTGTGAACCTACAGCTGCAGACTACTCAAATCTCCACACAGCTACTTCAGAAGTAGCTGTTTCAACCAGTTCTGCAAAATCTGCAAATAGAGATTATCCACATAGCTAGAGTGTAGGAGTGTTTGTAGTAACACTTGGCTTCTCCATATCAGTAGAAAGGATGCTAGCTTGATCCCCTCCTTCAACCAACCACCACACACATACAATGAACGTGCACACACACACACACACACACACACACACACACACACACACACACACACACACACACACACACACACACACACATATACACACAGATACCCGCGAGCGTAACACTAGATGTATTTAGTTCGAATAATCCTACCTGTGTATCGCAAAGGTGCAGTTTGACTAGCTGATCGCCGACTTTCAGCATCCTATGTCGGTACTCCATTCCAATGGTAGAATTAACCTGCTGGAATATCCAGTCTGGATTGGACAGGCGACATGCCAAACTTGTCTTGCCTGCAACAACAACAACAACAACAATAACAACAAAGAGCGAGAACAGTGAAATATAAAGGTTAGCATTAGCACCACGTCTGGGTAAATAGGCTTTTGAGTACTGAGTGTGTTATGTGGAATTGAACACCGGCCATAGGTCACCATTCATTCTCAATGTGAAATGATGCTAGTAGTGTGTCAACATCATCAGTCCAGGTAAGTATGGAATGCAGTTGCTCTGCGGGGAGATCTGTTTCGCCAGCTCATGGAATTCTAAATTGGTGTGGATGACATACTTTGGTTTGGAGTGAGCGGCAGCACAGAGGGAATCAGATTGCCGCTGTATTGTAATGTCTTCCCCTTGGTTCTGTCTTCCCATTACGTTCTCTGCTGGACCAGGCACTTCAGTATTTTAAAAAAAGAGAAAAAAAGAAAAAGATCAGACTTACCCACACCACAGTTGCCAGTCAGTGCAATCTTGTACGGCCGGTGGGCCTGCAGCGCTGGCCTGCACTGCAGCTCCTCCACACCGCTGCTATGCTGCACACCACTACATGTGCTAGCCCTGTCCACCATTGCTGTGTTGATATCGACGGAACTCATTCTCACTGGGTAATGTCTTCCTTCCTGAAAGTCAGAACTCTTGGTGAACTCTTTGATAGCGCTTGCGTGTTAATCCAATAGACTCTGAAGTGATCAAGACTTTCTCAGTTCAATTTATACACTGTCTTCTTCTGCACGTATCTCAGCAGTCGGTCGTTATCTTGCCGAGCCCTGGAGGGTCAAAATGATATCGACAGATAATACAATTACAGAGGTTTATTATCGCAGTCTTCATGTCAGCCTCGGTGTCACAGATCTGCTTATGTAATCAAAGTACAGAGTAACGTTCCACTTTGCACAGCGGCCTGCACACCGCGTGACATACACTGGTGCACGGCTATGCAGCTGGTGAAGTGTTTTTCATGCTCGAGCGGGTCATCTGGCAGCAGAATGCGAGCACTATCACGGAAAAGAATAGATAAACACGATTACCAGCCGCATCGCGGCTACATCTTTCTTAGCAGGCCCAGAAAAGCACCTCTCCCTCCGGCAAGCAACCCTCTTCTCATCCATTCCAGTGTGCTCATTCTCAGTCCAGCCACAGAACGCACTGGCTGTCATTACAAGCAGGGAGAGGAGTTCAGCGTCTGTCATCTGTCAAGCTATCTTGATGACAGATAAATTGCATGCAACTGGACAGCTTCTAGGAGGTGTCACACAAGCTGTCAACACCAATGTCTGCTGTCGCCCGTTTTGCTGCCGCTCGCAAATCTAACACGATATCACTGGCGGTGAACTTCCAGTCCGGAGAGCCGGTCACAGCTTAGCCGTATGGTAGGTGACCTGTGAAGGTTAGAGGGTGAATGATGCATTGGTACACGGCGGAGAAGCTGAACATGTAAACATCCGTGTTGGACAGAGCCCATCCGCGCAGTTCACGAGGGGACCAACGCCATTTGATGGACCGGCTACTCTAGTCACCTCGGCATGGTTGAACAAAGTCGTTCAATTCATCCGTGTCGTCCGGGGACAACTAACATCTTGCACTCGGTTGCCGCAAGGAGTGGGTGAACTAGCACCTCTCTCACGGTCTGTGCGTGGTACGTCCTCAACACAGCTTTCTCCTCTGTGTCCGTAGAGCTACTCGTATCCCTGCTGCCTGCATTAACAATTTTTGGTGACATGGCTTTATGCGCAGAAAACCAGGCGAGCACCTAGAACCCTGTATGCTGAAACACACACACGACCAGGCACTGCTGCACATACACACACACGACCAGGCACTGCTGCACATACACACACACGACCAGGCGCTGCTGCACATACACACACGCGACCAGGCACTGCTGCACATACACACACGACCAGGCACTGCTGCACATACACACACGCGACCAGGCGCTGCTGCACGACACACTGTTACAATGTCCCCTCAAGATGTTACACGGACACTCTCTTAGTTATCATGTTTTGCTGTGAGTGGCATCAGATCCACTAAGCTAGTGGGCAGTCCGGCACACAATACACGGCACACAATCATGTTGTGATGTCACTCACAAAACCCCTATACACCCGGTTAAGATCAGGCTTTCTTTGCTGGCCCGCAATACGCATGCATGCACACGCACAAGCACACACACACACACACACAGACACACAGACACACACACACACACACACACATGCCCACCCTGGCTCGCCGATGGCGACAAATGCACCGTGTTTTGGCTTAGCGTGTCTGCCCATACAAGAGCTACGTGGTATTGAGGTATAGAGATCGATACAAATACACATTACTGTGTGGACAGTATTCAGACAGGCAGTAGCCAGCCGGGTGACGATGGTTGTTAGTTTTTAGCCAGATGGTGACGGTATTATTGTAAATCCTCATTGATCGCAGGCCATAGAGTCTCAAGTCTCATTTCGGATCGATTCAAGCCACGCAGAGTGGTGGGCGCGCAAATCCTGCAGTTCGTTACGACAGCTGCCAACTGGCTTCAAAGCTGTCCGATCAAAGACCCCCCCCCCCCCCCACACACACACACATGCACATGCACATACACGCACATGCACACAGTGTTGCGGGTGGGGAAATTCAAAATCAACGCCAACATGATAGCCTTGCGATGTTGTCTCTCTGTTAACAGTCCTATGTGCTTCTAAGCAGAGCACTCATGACCAAGTAACTGCTATTGTGCCACATGTCCAAGTCCCATGATATCCCATGGTGCAAAACATTCTCCACCACCGCACTGCAAGGCCTGACACTGAATGCAGATAGATGTCCAGCTCTCTCTCTCTGAGCGATGAGTGAATAATTTCGTTTGACAGCCAATCGCTCATTGTATTGTCGCCTTGGCCTACGCACAACTCCAATGCTCCCTCTCTCAATTCTCATTTCATGGCATAGCACAGTGCTGCGGGCAGGCTTCACACAGTGTCAAATTACAAGAAACAACCACACAAAAACTAAACAAACAACCACTGGAATGTGCCAATAGAAAGAGAACAATCGACCAGCTGAAGCTGAAGCTGATTCGTCAAGCCCCATCACCCAGAAAGAGTCAAAAATTGCTCTACTAGTTCATCCCTCCCTCCGCATGGTTCGGTTGATTTACGTTTAACTGTAAACAGAAACAATATCCTCTAAGAAGACCCTGATGATGGGCAATGCCCGAAACATGGCCCTGACTGAGAATGGCAAAACAAGTCCAATGAATGGGTGATGAGAGGATGTGAGGTCGGAGAGAGAATTTGCTGAGGAGTGATGCGCAAATGGCTGAAAGTCATTCGTGGCCAGCAGCAGCAGCAGCAGCATCGCAACTGTCCTTGCACATACACTGTGATACCCTCGCTCGGTGCTTCGTTGGAGTTACTCGTGTATAGATTGAGATTATGATGCCGTCTGAGTCTCATCAATTTGGCGAGGCGGATGTTTAGGTTGTTTAGGGACCCGCAGTGACCAACACTCACCAACATTATACTTATGTTGTACTATTTGTTGTAACAGATGATCGGTAGGGTCACCGACTGTGCATGCATTTTTGTCTGATGCATTCATGATCAGTGCATGATGCTGTGTTCAATGGAGCTTAGCTGCATATTACTTATTAGCGGCAATCATATTCGTAACTGACGTGCCGCCCACAGTGAGAGCAAGCGGAGTGCCTGATTCAGTGTCCATGGTATCCCATCGGGTTGTGCCACAAAATTGCAAAAGATGATTTGTATGACAATCAGGAGAAACTCAAAGTCAAAACTTAGGCTTCTAAGCGCACCACGTACTGCTGCTACTCAATGTGAGGACCTACACAATGTCATATACACAGATAGCGCCATTGAATCAATGAATGGCACGCTATAATTTACGGTGCCCTTACCTAAGGTCCTTGCGAGTCGGTTTTCTGCGAGCTCTCCCGGATCCCGCAAAGCTCCAACACCCCCACACGTACACGCGTTTGCACTGTAGTCACACAGATTCTGAGTAGTATTGTGGAGTCTCGCAAGTACCGATAGTTCAACGACGTTGTGTTCGTCACCACTGGTCACTGACTATCTGCTGCTCAAACTCGTTGTTCGCTCTACATACTACGCCGACTAAAAGTGAGTTCTGATCTTCCTTCGCGGAAGTATCGCTGCTTTATAGTACGGAAAGTACAAAACCAGCGGGGGCCAAAGCCTTGGATCTAGGCCAATAATGGCAATATTTCAAGAACGCTGTCCATCCTGCTCACGGTCAGGAGGTTGTCATGTGAAAGTGCATCGCCTCGTCCTCTTCGGTCGCATTATTCATCGCAGCGCATGGAGATGTATGCGGGATGTTTCCCCACTTGACCTGCCTGCACGTTCCGGCCAGTTTTACTAACCGGAAATTCCCAGCGTGGACCGCACCTGCCATGCATGTGCTATGCATAAGCATGTCTACGTGTTGTCGTTCTACTACTACTACTAGTAGATCTACTAGTACTACCAATAGACTACAGACTGTACAGTACAGGCATGTAGATTCTACTAGTTCTCTAGAAACTGTTGTCTAGATCAACCAAACAATCAGGACTGTATCATGACTGTTTGACTGTACCGATGGCGATGGGGAAAGGCACAAGTTTTTGCAAGGCTTTGGTGTGTATTTTTGGACTTCGGTGCCATGCATGGTGCCCGGTGTACGGCCTTGTCAAGAAGGTCGGGCAAGTCGATGACGTTCTCGCCAACTGTGGCATGTACCCGTCTTTCAACCAGCAAACGACGTGTCATGACTACTTTTTGCAGCCGGAATTCTTGACATCTTGTCGTTGCGTCACTGCCGTCAGTGTTGCATGGGCTTCAATCCCAGTGGATCTCGCTTTTCTCAGTTACTGTGCGCATGCTGCCTAGCTGGCTGAGTATCAATCATTGAACACCGCGTTGTTCATGAAAGGGAGTAGCTGTCGAGATGTTTTTTTTCTCGCTCGCCAAACATGATGGCGACGTCAACAGTAGCAACTTAGAAGAGTCCACAATTCACCAATTATAGCTCCAAGAGAGCCCTACTGTCACCTCCCAAGGGGAGGGTTGTGAACTCTTGGTGAACCCTAGCCCTGCGGTCAGGAATTTGCAGCACTCAGTATGTTGTCCACTGCGTTAGCTAAGGCAGCTGTACATTGTCACTACGTGCGTGTGTGTGTGTGTGCGTATGTGGATTGGTGTTTGTCTACACATTCCGTTGCTGTGACTCTGCAATGGATGAAAGTGAAGCATGGACTTTTCCTACAATACATGTACATGTATAATTAATACTAATTGCCATCATTCCGCATCAGTGATGTGGGTCTCTGAATAAACCATGACTTCTACTACAAAATATTTCTTATCACAAGACGTCATGCGAACATGAAAGTAAAGTAGTGACTTCAGTCACTTCAATTTATACTAGCATTTTTTTACGAGAAACCACGAGCCTCGAGGAGGGACCGGCGGATTCTGCTCGAAAAGGTGGCAGATTCTGCTCGAAAAGCAGTGAAATTGGCAGAACCATACAAACCTTATGGCGGGCAATTCCTCGAATTCTGCTCCATTTTTTATCCACATACCAAACATGGACGCTTTCCATAGAAGGCAACTCAGGTCACTTCTCGGCATCACATGGCCACAAAAGATTAGTAATTTGGCGTTGTATGCCCGATGTGGAGTGGAGCCGGTGTCGGACTTGATCCGAAATTCACGCTGGAGTCTATTCGGGCATGTGCTTCGCCTGGGTAAGGACACGCCAGCACGATTGAGCATGGAGCAATACTTTCAGGCACCCGAGGGGAGGTACCGCGGGAGGCCGAGAGTGACACTACCAATAAAGCTCCACACCGATCTGTCCCAGTCGAACAATGGGCACCTGCGGAGTGTTGAGGACTTGCGCCGTCTGGAGCGGATTGCTGTGGACCGTCCAGCATGGAACGCGCTGGTGAAGAGTGTTTGTGCACACCCTCGTCACGAGTAGAAACAGCCATGGCACCCTTATAAACTCATAACAACCATCCTATAATAATATTACTATTTGAATCTTTTAATAATTATCTGGCAACTCAACCTCATACGTATAATTATCTGGCCACCCATTGACCATGATGCTACATGAGGAGACAATAGTGATGACATTTTTCCAATGAGACCAATTTTATGACGCTCCATGTTACTGAAGGACTAACTTCGATCATTGGTTTTGTAGAGCCCCATTCTCTAGGAGCTGTCTACATCTGCTTTGTTTCAATGTCCAGCATAAGCGAACGTGTGGATCAAGCATAACTGCTTGGTTGACGCTGCCGCGGGAATGCGTATAATAATAATAATAATACCAAACATGCATGAAACTTACCAGAAAAAGTACCGAATTCTGCCAATTTTTCTGCGGGCAGAATCCGGCGGACCCTAGCCTCGAGAGTATACTAGTCTACCACCAAAACTAGTAAAATGACGTCATGCATGCATGTTATCCTGGTGCCCATCATTTGCTTGCACACGTCTACCCTACATTGCAAACCCCGCGCGCTGAGACCTTAAAGTCATGATCCAGCAGATCAGCAAGCCGACGCGTGCACGCCTTCATTCCCTTGCGAATAACGCATGTACATGTACATGTACAATGTACGTGTATGGCAGAGGTCTATGCACGTGGTGAGATGGGAGGCTGTTAGTACTGCCAGTACTGTACTGTTCTACAGTACTAATACTAGTGCATCATCAACCGCAGGCTCATCAGCCACCTCGTCCTCACTCTCACCGTCATCATTCTCACCATCCTCATCCACCATCTCCAAATCTCCAAATCCTGTCTCCTCCGTTTGTGACTTCTTCGTTCTCCTCGATCCACTGCCGCAGTCAACCTTCCATAATTTGCCGTCACAATTTTTGGGCGTGTGGATATCAGTTCAGTGAGCACCATCCATTCGCGAAATCCTCACCCGCGGATGCTGCGGATGCGGGTGAGGATTTCGCGAATGCAAACACCCGTGTCCGAATCATTAGACAGGTGAATTTGTTAGTTGTCCGTTATTCCTGTCTTTGTTGTCGATTCCGTTGCTGTTTTGCTTTCCGTCAATCATGTCTAGCAGTCCGGTTACCGGTCCTCGCTCGCGGACGCCATCCAGCTGATCCATCTCACCGCATACATCCTTGACAGTGTCAAGGCCCGTCCAGTCAATACGTTGCTCCAAAACATCGGAACGCTGTATACCGGACCCCGCGGGTGGTGGCGTGGAGACTAGTGCACTTCTCCGACCACCAACTATTGTGTACTGTGTGTTTAGGGACTCAACAAGTCCGTCCATACACTGACGGTGTGGGGCGCAGCTGCGGCCGCAAGGTCCCTGCTGGATTATTAGAGACCTTTGGCAATCTACCTCTCTTTTTCTTTGCTGGCGAGAAGTTTGGTGGCCGGAGAAGTGCACTGGTCTCCACGCCACCACCAGCGCGGTCGTCTTGTATACAGCGCTCCGATGTTTTGGAGCAATGTGTTGACTGGACGGGCCTTGGCACTGTCAAGGATGTGTGCTGTGAGGTGGATCAGCAGGATGCCGTCAGTGAGCGAGTTACCGGACTGCTTGACATGATTGACGGAAAGCATAACAGCAACGGAATCGACAACAAAGACAGGAATAACGGACAACTGACAAATTCACCTCTGTCTAATGGTTCAGACACGGGTGTTAGGCTGCGAGTGGGTGAGGATTTCGCGAATGGTTCCATTTCGGATGGTGCTCAACTGATATCGACACGCCCAAGACGTGCGACGGCAAATTATGGAAGGTTGACGGCGGCAGTGGATCGAGGAGAACTAAGAAGTCACAAACGGAGGAGACAGGATTTGGAGATTTGGAGATCGTTGATGAAGATGGTGAGTATGATGACGGTGAGAGTGAGGACGAGGTGGCTGATGAGTGATGAGCCTGCGGTTGACGATGAAGTATTTGTGAGTACCCATAAATCAGCTGTCTTCAGTCATTTGGTGTCCAACCCCCATTGTTTGCAGTTGAATGATGATTCGTGCTTCAGTGTGGTGTGTTATGCAAGTACATGATTGTAGTTTTCGTCTACTTTCCGTATTAGAGGCCATGTTTATTCGTACTCGCAACCCAGATTAATGCAGACAGAAGGGATTTGTTACAGCACTCACCCTCTTTACTTGACATACCAACACCCACACACTCACTCACATACAATTACGTGCATGTACTTGTAACTTTCTCATTTGCACCCGCTCTCCACTCCACACATGCTCTAACACTGCTCGCTTTGTAATCACGCCTTCTATACAAAAGTATTAATTCTACTTCAAACAAAAAGTAGGATACATGTACTCGTGTTTCTCGTATTAGTTTTAGATCCAATAATTATTCACTTGATTGTACCCTAATAGTAATACCCTAATAATACAATGTCATGTACATACATGTAGTCATGTACCTGTACTAGTAGTTGCTTTGTAGAGTAATAGGATACCAATAGGATACAACAAGAGAGGTCGGGGCATGTACCGATACTGCTATTGCATTGCATTGGTAATTTCAACTACAGTAAAACCTGGTGTAAGCGACCTCTCGTTTTAGCGACCACCTGCTCTTAACGACCATTTTTCCATGTACAGACCGTGTACCATGTACCATGCTGTATAGTATACGCCCGTCGCAAGAGAAGCACGCAAATCTGCAAATGCACTGGATGTGCACCCACAGATTTTCTCTTTATAGCAACGATAGCGAACAAGATCTGAATGAGACAGATCAAGACTTGCGCCAGATAACTGCACAGACAATTCTACACAGACACTGTGGGACCTGGTTCTAAAGACCACCTGGCTTTAACGACCGATTTTCCTTGCACAGTGGGGTGGTCGCTTAAACCTGGTATTACTGTACATGTACATGTACATGTAGTTTGTACCAGTATCCCGCAGTGTCTACATCAAGGCGTACAATGCACATGTAGCTCATGGGCACTAATATAACCTCACCTACATGTACATAATACATGTACGTTCTGGCTGTTGGGGGACCTGGTATCCCAGACTGGGGACCAGAAGATGACCAGCAAATTATCACTGGGTTACGCGTGGACTGCACTGGTCATGTACAACAGCATGCAGCAGACCTGCTTTATTAGCCCACACTTACTACTACTAGTGAAACTCGTCGACTAAAGTCCTAAAGTCTTTCACGGTTATCATCA